CTTTAAAACTTCATTAAATGCCGTTTTATTGTTAAAAAAACATTTTTTACAACATTAAATTTTTGGCTGCTAGGCCGCCAGGCCGCTGGGCCGCCAACTTCACAAAAATGACAAAATTAAAAAAATCTCTAAAAGTGATTTTTTCTTTAGAATATCGTTTAAATAACAATAATTATCTTTAAAACTTCATTAAATGCCGTTTTATTGTTAAAAAAACATTTTTACAACATTAAAATTTTTGGCCGCCAGGCCGCTGGGCCGCCAACTTCACGCCGCTAGGCCGCCAGGCCGCTGGGCCGCCAACTTCACGCCGCTAGGCCGCCAGGCCGCCAACTTCACGCCGCCAGGCCGCCAGGCCGCTAGGCCGCCAACTTCACACATCTTAACAAAAATGCGATTATTGCCAACTCTCATCCAGTTACTAGTATTCAATTTACGCTTTGAAAACACATGTTTACACTGAAATCCTTCAAAACTGTTAAAACTCGTGTTTTGTTTTTTTGTTCAATTTGGACTAGATTGGTGACATGTTATTTGAAAGATATTGATTTAGAATAACATGTGTTTGAATTAAAATGGTAAGAAAGATATGATCATATATTAATATGTGTAATTAATGAAGTCACGTTAACAACATATGCTGTCGATAATATTATCCAGTCTATACATGGGTTTTTATTATATTCTTGTTGAAATGTATCCGATAAATAACAAAAGATTTCTTATGTTATCCGAATATCTGGAAAAAAGTGGTCCCTGGGCAGCAAAATTAAAATTACATGTAAATTGCAGGCTCGGTTTGGTTGAGTCTGTACTTGAGGGATAATGAAAAAGTGAAACATCCCTCACGTCCCCTAGCACCGGCTAGAGCGGTACTGAATTCTCAATCTTACAACATCACTTGTCCGTGTCTCAGACAAGAAAAAGTTAATTATGATTGTGAAATTTTCAAATAATGTCATGACTGAATAACAAATAGTGCAGACCATGGTCAGACTGCTCAAATGTACCAACTGAATTTGGTCTGCACTGGTAGCTGTCAACTGATTGAGGTTAATATGAAACTCAAGGTGTGACGTATTAAACGAACAGAACAGACTTGACAAGGGAAACAAGGAGACTACTAGTATGTCTAGGGAGAGAATTAATAATGAAAGAAAAAACAAAGAATTTTTAACAAAATGCACGGACAGACAGATTATCGCACTTTGAAAATTTTGAGGATGTGAAAGAACATTGATTATTTTGTAAACAAATAAAGGGTTTATAATACGTAGAAATGAATAAAACTTAATATGTCATCTGGAAATTATTAAAAATTTTATGACACGTGGAAATGAATATAAACTTTATAGCTAGTGATCCAAAATGATAAGTGAATGACACGTAGAATAGAATACACACTTTTTTACTTATTGGCACATAATTATGTAACAATCAGATAGTCCGATATGTTAATTAATTATAACGATTAAGGGCTTTCTTTCATATTTTAGATTAGTATTTTTATCTTTTAAATACAAATATTCTAAACTCTTCATACATGTCATGCAAGTTAACTGCATTGAAACTTATGGGAGCAGTCGAGAGTGGGTTTCGAGTCTGAACATAAATGTTAAGATTTTCAATGATATATCTGTCTGATAAGAACTGGTATATCTAACATGGATCTGTTGCTTGTCGTAAAGTTATCAAGATAATTTAAAATCAATGTTTGATGATTAACAGCCGGTCAAATACATTGCAAATAGTTTACATTACTATTGTCATTATATTTCACGAATTCAACCAAATATATTAACGAGTTGCAAAACAAAATTATAAAACAAAAGGCCAAACGATCATCTCATATATTCAGAGCTTCGGTTATTAGATACACAGGAACCAATACAGACTCAACTTGCTTTACCTAGAGTTTTTCCCATGTATTTGCTTTATTTTATTTTCTTCTTTCCTATTTTTATCTATTTATATAAATTTTATTTTCATTTTATTTGGTAGACTTTTATGGAGCTTTATTAAAAGTTATAAGACAGAATGATCACGAACGAGAATCTCGGATTATATTTTATATAACCCTGTGCCATGATATACCTCTGTGTCAGTTTCAGCGGAAAATGTTGGCGTTGTTTTGAACACAGTCAAACGTAACATACTGTTTTGTTTTAAAAATTATATTTTCCAACGATAACTTTTACAAGAAAATTCAGATTCCATTTGTTTCTGACATAGCATTTTTTGTTCTTGAACACAAATATTTTCTTTAAAGCTTTCAATTTATTGATTATTTACTAAGAAAGTCCTTCGATACTTGGATAAAATAGTGATATTAGGAAAGGTGTAGAGGTAATGGTAAGGACATATAGAGTGCAAATCTATTCATTTGTTCAACATCAATCATAACGACAGTTATTTTGAATAAATAAGAAACACTATAATGTATTATTGTCTTCAATTTATTAATACTTTCTGGAAAAAATGGATACTTTCTTCAGATGTCCAGTTTTAATAACCGCATGCTTCGAACCTGAAAAAAATAGCACAGTAACATACAAAATACACAAAACGAAAACAACAACAACAATTAATGAATTGAATTCTGCGTCTTAATATCTGATACCGGTATTTTGATTGTACGTGTATATCTATGCATCGATTGAAAATAAGAATCAGCAGAATGTACTGTAATTAATATAATGTTGAACATGTATTAAACAGTCGATACAAGCAGAAGATTTTATTGAGATTTTACTTTTTGACTGAAATATAACTCATTGATTGAGATTTTACTTTTTGACTGAAATATTACTCATTGATTGAGATTTTACTTTTTGACTGAAATATTACTCATTGATTGAGATATTTTACTTTTTGACTGAAATATAACTCATTGATTGAGATTTTACTTTTTGACTGAAATAATACTCATTGATTGAGATATTTTACTTTTTGACTGAAATATAACTCATTGATTGAGATATTTTACTTTTTGACTGAAATATAACTCATTGATTGAGATTTTACTTTTTGACTGAAATATTACTCATTGATTGAGATATTTTACTTTTTGACTGAAATATTACTCATTGATTGAGATATTTTACTTTTTGACTGAAATATAACTCATTGATTGAGATTTTACTTTTTGACTGAAATATTACTCATTGATTGAGATTTTACTTTTTGACTGAAATAATACTCATTGATTGAGATTTTACTTTTTGACTGAAATATTACTCATTGATTGAGATTTTACTTTTTGACTGAAATATTACTCATTGATTGAGATTTTACTTTTTGACTGAAATATTACTCATTGATTGAGATTTTACTTTTTGACTGAAATATTACTCATTGATTGAGATTTTACTTTTTGACTGAAATATTACTCATTGATTGAGATTTTACTCATTGACTGAAATAATACTCATTGATTGAGATTTTACTCATTGACTGAAATAATACTCATTGATTGAGATTTTACTCATTGACTGAAATAATACTCATTGATTGAGATTTTACTCATTGACTGAAATAATACTCATTGATTGAGATTTTACTCATTGACTGAAATAATACTCATTGATTGAGATTTTACTCATTGACTGAAATAATACTCATTGATTGAGATTTTACTTATTGACTGAAATAATTCTCATTGATTGAGAGATTTTACTTTTTGACTGAAATAATTCTCATTGATTGAGAGATTTTACTTTTTGACTGAAATATTACTCATTGATTGAGAGATTTTACTTTTTGACTGAAATATAACTCATTGATTGAGATTTTACTTTTTGACTGAAATATAACTCATTGATTGAGATATTTTACTTTTTGACTGAAATATAACTCATTGATTGAGATTTTACTTTTTGACTGAAATATAACTCATTGATTGAGATTTTACTTTTTGACTGAAATAATTCTCATTGATTGAGAGATTTTACTTTTTGACTGAAATATAACTCATTGATTGAGAGATTTTACTTTTTGACTGAAATATTACTCATTGATTGAGATTTTACTTTTTGACTGAAATATTACTCATTGATTGAGATATTTTACTTTTTGACTGAAATAATACTCATTGATTGAGATATTTTACTTTTTGACTGAAATATAACTCATTGATTGACATTTTACTTTTTGACTGAAATATTACTCATTGATTGAGAGATTTTACTTTTTGACTGAAATAATACTCATTGATTGAGATATTTTACTTTTTGACTGAAATATAACTCATTGATTGAGATTTTACTTTTTGACTGAAATATAACTCATGATTGAGATTTTACTTTTTGACTGAAATAATTCTCATTGATTGAGAGATTTTACTTTTTGACTGAAATAATTCTCATTGATTGAGATATTTTACTTTTTGACTGAAATATAACTCATTGATTGAGATTTTACTTTTTGACTGAAATATAACTCATTGATTGAGATATTTTACTTTTTGACTGAAATAATTCTCATTGATTGAGAGATTTTACTTTTTGACTGAAATATTACTCATTGATTGAGAGATTTTACTTTTTGACTGAAATAATTCTCATTGATTGAGATTTTACTTTTTGACTGAAATATAACTCATTGATTGAGAGATTTTACTTTTTGACTGAAATATAACTCATTGATTGAGATTTTACTTTTTGACTGAAATATAACTCATTGATTGAGATTTTACTTTTTGACTGAAATAATTCTCATTGATTGAGATATTTTACTTTTTGACTGAAATATAACTCATTGATTGAGAAATTTTACTCATTGATTAAAAAAACCATCAATTGATGGAGATATTACTAATTGAATGAAAAAATTCTCAATGATTGAGATTTTACTAACTCACAATAATTCAACAGAAAATAAAGTCGATGACGATGAGTTCTAGTTCTTATGACTTCATCAAGTGTTGCTAACATGAGCGCGTTTATTAAAAAGTTTATATAACCTGCATGTTTTGATCGTTAAAAATTTGTCGGTTGAAGTGTTTTAAAGAACCGGAATAATGAAAGACCTGATTTAAGCAGCATAAACCGCTACATTTGCCGACATTTTTTGTTTCAATGTGTTCAGATGATATCAAAATATCAGCTTAATATCACTTAAGATTGTCATGTTTTAACACAAGGGATCTAAATGCACAATATTAGTTTGTACAAACTTATTTTATTTTGATTGTATTGGAAGTTACAGGCTTTTTTCAAACACATTCAAATCCGTTCCTGCATCCAACTAGTACTAAGCATTGAGTGTAAAGTTTCTTGCTCACGGAAATAACAGTTTGTCTTTAAAGGGGTATGAACCCACGCGGCAAGCAATCCTTAGATTCACTAGTCCCCGCAGATAACTTGTTAGTCCGACGTGTTAACCACTCGGCCAAATAGACTCAATTTGAGCCGCGTCATGACAAAACCAACATAATGGGTTTGCGACCAGCATGGATCAAGACCAGCCTGCGCATCTGCGCAGTCTCATCAGGATCCATGCTGTTCGCTTACAAACCCTATAACAAGTAGAGAAACTGATAGCGAACAGCATGGATCCTGATCTGACTGCGCGGATGCGCAGGCTGGTCTGGATCCATGCTGGTCGCAGACCCACTATGTTGGTTTTGTCGTGACGCGGCTCATTTATATATGTTTACGTGAAATATTACGCATCCATATTTGTGCAATATTCGTATAACGGCAATTCAAATTTCAAGTCAAACTGAAAAATCGTAATACTCACTTATTTTTCTATCGGTAAGGTTTTCATGCAACAGCATTCTTTGGGTGGGAAGCAGGGAAAACACCAATAGTTGGATTCTATTGACCCTTCTGAACAGCTCCTGCTACAATAGCATCTTATATTACCCGCATCTAAAATAATTAAATTTGTTTAAAGTGAATTGGTCTATAATGGAAGGTCAGAAAACAATAAATAATTAAGTTGAAAGATATAGAACAACAAAACAAACCACAAAATAATTATATATGGATAATGTCGGTAAGTGTAAGATACATGATCCGATATTAACGAAAGTCCGGTAGGGCCATTTCAACTTCATGAATTCCTGATTTCATCTTTATGAATTCACAATTTAAATTTTGTGAATTCCCGTTTTCAAAATACGGAATTCACGAATTCATGATTCAGCTTCATAAATTCACGACTTCAACTTCACGAATTCACGATTTCAACTTCATGAATTCACGATTTCAACTTCATGAATTCACGTTTTCAACTTCACGAATTCACGATTTCAACTTCATGAATTCACGATTAAAACTTCACGAATTCACGATTTCAACTTCATGAATTCACGATTTCAACTTCATGAATTCACGATTTCAACTTCACGAAATCACGATTTCAACTTCACGAATTCACGATTTCAACTTCATGAATTCACGATTTCAACTTCACGAAATCACGATTTCAACTTCATGAATTCACGATTTCAACTTCATGAATTCACGATTTAAACTTCATGAAGCTGAAATCCGGAATTCATGAAATTGAAATGCCCCCAACGGGTCTTTCGTAGATAGTTCATTAATTCATTGAGGATAGACTAGACCACAAAAATCTGATTGAAAGGTTGACAAATCATTTTAAGATATTGAGCGTGGAAAAGGTTAATTATTTAGCATAAAATTGTGATACATAAATTTAAATGCCTTTGCTTATTCATGCTGCATCCATAAATATATCACTTTTTGTTGAAATTGACGAAAAAGGAAAGAAGGAAAATATATAAAGAAAAACAACTCACCAGTCTTGAATTCGCAAAAACTTGTGATAACAAGTAATCCGAGAAGTATAAATGTAAATTTACTAGCCATTGTTATTGAAGTTATCAAAGCTTGAATAACTGGTATATTATTCTTATTTAATAATAAATGATATTTAAATATCGCTTTTCTATATAAACCTTGACAATATTTGCAGCAGATTGTAAAGTTAGTAAACAATACCAGATATGTAAAGACCTAGCCAGTGAAAATTATCAAACAAAATCTATAAAAAAAAACGTTTCAAACAAGTTTCTAAAAGTATACACAATTTAATCTTTTCTTTATTTCAAAATATAATTGTTTGTATTATAAGAATCCTTTACACTTAAAGTATTTGAGTTCCCTCAATGGCTGAGTAGTTTAATTTGGTCACTGATTTATAATCCGTGTGGGTTCGAATCCCGCTAGAGTGTTAGGATTATCACATGTGCAAAGTAATTCCTCCCAACTCATAAAACATTTTTGGTTCTACTAATGTGCCAAATTTGGATCATTTATGATGAGCTAGGAACTTCTTAACTGCTTTCAATGAATGAATCCAAATGCCTTGCCAGAAATTATCAAATTTGATAATATAATATAGCATGTGTCAACGGATAATCATATACTGAAGGAAAGAAAACCTTGGAAAACCTTGGAAATATTCCGTTACAATTGGGATTCTTCGAAAAAACAGTTCATTCATAAGAGCATCATTTCCATATGGATAAATGGTTTACTGGACTCAATAGCTATACGGTTTTTTTGTTTGAAACCATTTACTTCTCAAACTTTTCGAAAATGAAATGTTGAATTGCAGTATCTGAGAACCGGTGCAACAGGTTTACATTTTATTGTTTTTGGTGTTGATGTTTTTTGTTTCGTGTAGGGGGGGGTTGTTTCGTGTAGGGGGGTTTGTTTCGTGTAGGGGGGGAGAGAATGGGAGGATCTTAATTTCTCCTCTTTTTTCTGGTTCGCTCATAGGATATAATGTTAGTCAATGATCTAAGCCCAATCTTCACATATAATCGGTATATTAAAGAGCTCAGTATACATTATAATTATTGCTGGACAATTTCTAGTAATTAACAAGCCACGGTTATTATTATATTCTCTTGGAACAATAATAATGTATGTTAATAATAAATTCCATGTCCTCGCATTTCAAGTTTAGCACCCCAACATCTTTAACGGCAAATTTAAATGCCTAATGTCCTTTTTCTAGCATAAATTATATGTATCAAGTAGATAACCAGATACTAGTATACCAGAAAATTATAACGACTAAATGTTTTTTTGTTTGTTCTTTTTTTTTTTTCGTCATATTTGACATTAGTAGAAGTTAAAGTTTTTGCAAGTTAACATGGAAGCAGTTGGGAGTGGGTTTCGATTCTAGATATACATCTTTTGATACACCGTTTTCGAAATCGTGTTTTATTTTCATATTTGATCAGATATGATATATCTAACATGCATCTGTTGGTTGTCATAAAGCTATCAAGATAATTTAAAATCAATCCAGATGATTAACAGCCGGGCAAATATATTGCAAACATTTTACATTATTATTGTGAATATATTTCATGAATTTATACAAATGTCTAAACGAGTTACAAGTAAAATCTTATATAACAAAAATATAAAGAAAGGACACGATCATCTCATATACTCAGAGTTTCTGTGAGGTACCAAAGCAGACTCACATTAGTTTTTTATTACAGTCCGTACTACCTGGAATTTTCCTCATGCAATTACATGTTTTTATTTTTTTTCCATTTATTTATATATGTTTAATTACTATTATTATTTGAAAGGCATTTAAGAAGCTTTTATAAAAAAGATTGTTTAAGCCGGAATGATCACGAACGAGAATCCGGGATTATATTTTATATGATATACCTCTGTGTCAGTTTCAACGGAAAATGTCACTGTTGTTTTGGACACAGCCAACGTACATGAAATACCGTTTTCTTTTTAATTTTATTTTCGAATGAACAAGAAAACAAGAAAAGTCAGATTTCATATTATTTTAAAATAGCATACAATTATTTTCAATTTATCGATTTTTTTACTAAGGAGTTCTCCCTGTCGTATTCTTCTTTTTAGTTTCTTCATCTGAAAGTAAAAAGAAAGAAATAAGAAAATTTGGCAATCTATCATTATGATTGTAAGAACAAACGACAATTTACCTTTGTAACAACACATGGCAATCCACCGTTATAAAAACAAATTACAATTTACCTTAGTAAGAACACATGATAATTGTTCCTTTGTAAGAACAAATGACAATTTACCTTTTAAAGAACTCATGACAGTTTACCTTTGTAAGAACACATGACAATTTACCTTTAAAAGCAAATGATAATTTACCTTTGTTAGATGACATGACAATGTACTTATATAAGAACACATGGCAATTTACATTTTTTAAGAACACATGTCAATTCATACTTGTACGATCACATGACAATTAACCTATATAAGAACAAATAACAATTTACCCTTCTTAGAACACATGACAATTTACCTTTGTAAGAACACAAGACAATTAACCTTTAAAAGAACACATGGCAATTTATCTTTGTAAGAACCCATGTTAATTAACCTTTAAAAGAACATATGACAATTCACCTGTATAAAATACATGACAATTTACCTTTGTTAGAACACATGACAATTTGCATTTGTAAGAACACGTGACTATTAACCTTTGTAAGAACACATGGCAATTTACCTTTGTAAGAACACATGACAATTTACCTTTCTAAGAACACATGCCAGTTCACCATTGTTATAACACCTGGCCATTTACCATTATAAAAACACATGACAATTTACCTTTATGAGAACACATTGCAATTTACCTTTATAATAACAAATGCAATTTACCTTCATAAGAACACATGGCAATCTACCTCCGTAAGAACACTGGCAATTTACCTTTTGTAACGCATGATAATTTCTCAGTGGGTGGATGCATGGTGCTTTACAAATCTACTAATTTACGGACATATGGTATTTTGCGTTGAAATTTGTTTTTATTACCAACACAATTTGATTATATGATATTATTTAGATATTTTTATACATGTATGACTTATATACTTACTTTACTTATTGCTTCGGTATAGTGTTCGTGGGACAACAACATTCAAAACTGCCAGGGCAGCCAAAACAAAAGTGATTTCCAACTGTTTCTGTGTCTGGCTTAAAGCCGCAATGTCCTTGCGGAAGGCAATCACATCCGAGACTTTCTGTGTGTAGAATCGTCAATTAAAATAATTACTTTGTCGAAAGCACAAGCCTCTATATATAGTGTAAGTTCGCTGTTATACAACTAAATTAAAGATATATTTATCTATAAATATAGTGTATACATTTGAAAAGCTCAAATTATAACTTTAAAAAATATAACTTAAATGGAACATAAGAATTCACTCAGACACGATCGAACGGCTCTTTAACAACTGTTATTAAAATATCAACAAACTGATGGTTCAGGGTGTTCACTCAAACCAGCATTATATTAAATTAATTATTTCAGATACAGACGTTTAACATAATTTTGAGGTCCATTACATAAATTATTTTATATGACTTGTATCGTACATTACAGAATGGCACTTACCCACTTTGAACTTGCAAACACTTGCAATAAAACATATTCCAAGTACTAAACAAACTAGTTTAAACATAGCTAGACTGGCGATTTCAAATAAATCGGAAATACTATCACACTATTATTGTGCATTTATGTTCACATTTAAACTAATATGAAGTAATGTATTTTCAATCGATATCTACGACATCTGTTTTCTTTTTTTTCTAGTATGTGTCTACGCTCCTCCTATAAACCAATAAACCCAGCCTACCCGTCTCTCCCATCCATCCATCTTCCCCGCCCCAAAGCGGAACACGCACGTGAATGTTCTGATTTTCCCGTTTAGCTTTTTTTTGGAATTTCTACACCAGAACAAACAGGGTTCAAATGCCCCCTTCATTGGTTATGTTTACTACATGTACTACGCCACCAAAGAAGTTCGATGTTGAAACAATGGGAACGTTTTACTAACGTACTCACGCCTAAAATTACCGTTTTAACGTAAACTTTCATTTATGATAATACTAAGAAAAAAAATTACGAAAACTTAGTCGAACGGTCACCAGGTCTCTTATCGTACACATAGATGCCAAAATCGTTTAGTTCTATCATAGCACCTTTTCGAATGGATCCTTTCGGATTGTTATAACCAGGTGGTGCGATAGCTCAGTTGGTTAGTCCACTGACTGTCACTCGTTAGGTTCCGGGTTCGATCCTGAGTGAAACACTTGGGGATTTTCAGAAACGTTTTCAGCATGTAAAAGAACCAAAGGGTCAATTCAATAAGAGCTAGGGATTGGTTCCCGACTTCCCTTGTATCTCATTGCTGTCTCTAGACTCTGCTGAGGTAAGGACACGACTGGAAATTAAAGCTTACACTGTCCTAGGTTATCCTTGACCGTCCAGTCTAAAGAAACTCAATTCAAATGGTGAAACCCCAACTTTAAGTCGGAGTTTTAAAACTTTTAAGACGCCGTTCTTTTTTCTTTTTTTTTCAATCGATCAAATGACATCACATCCAGGGAAAACATATTTTTTAAATACCAAGTTACATAATATAAAGCAGCATGCCTCTAGATTCATGCTCATATTCGTGAAAATTTCAAAAATCTTTTTTTAAAGTTAAATATTGTGAAGTGAATAAAGAAAGTAATTTGTACATTTCAAACGGCACTTAAAATCAACGCTAATTACCAAAAAGAGGTCAAAATATACATAAATACCTCTTACTGCGTTAGTAACGCAGTAGAATTAAAGTGATTGATGCTGCAAAATCAGTCATTAATCGCACATAACATGTTAATCATTAATTAGATATTGAATATCTTTTCTTAAAATCTTTATACATTTTTCTTAAAATGAATTTCTTGAAATAATTTGGCTCATCTGGAGACGTTCAGCTTTAACAGTTAATAGTCGTACAATTAACAATATCATCATAAATGTGATAAGATTATAGATACAAATGATATAATATAATAATTGAGCCGCGTCACGACAAAACCAACATAATGGGTTAGCGACCACCATGGATCTAGACCAGCCTGCGCATTCTCGAAGTCTGGTCAGGATCCATGCTGTTTGCTATCAGTTTCTCTACTTCTTATAGGGTTTGTAAGCGATTAGCATGGATCCTGATCAGACTGCGCGGATGCGCAGGCTGGTCTGGATCCATGCTGGTCGCAAACCCACTATGTTGGTTTTGTCGTGACACGGCTCATTTTTCCAAAAGTTTAAAGTATTGAGGCTGATGTAGAGTGCACGAATGGTTGTCTCGATTTTTCTTGTGACAACTCTATAATCATATATTATAACGTAGGTAGAGAGAACCCCCTTCAGTTGAGTGTTCTTATATATGAATTTTCAATCTAGATCATCAATGTGACATTGCTATCTGTCATAGTAAATAAAGTAAAGAGACAAAATTGTTACATCATTTAAACCGGAAATCGTCATCATTTTCAGCACAAATTTACACAACCGTACATAATAATGAATTAATTCGTCGATCCACATCCTATTTTTTCTTGGTACATACAATTCTTATTTCTCAACTGAAATTCTGATTACAAAATTAATATTCTGCCACAATATTATAATTCTTTATGTAATATAATTTTTTTTTCCATTCCGTTCTAATTATCGGTGTAACTTTTTATCCACGTGACATAGGTAGAAATGCGCGTGAACACCGCCGGAAACTTTCCTGGTCTCGTTTTACTGGTAAAACTTGCTATACCAACTTGTGTCCATTCTCCGTTATCATTCTGACAAACTAGAGGTCCTCCACTGTCTCCCTGTAAGAAAAAGTTAAACTTGTCAAGTTCCGGTTTCTAGTTCCCTTACTTATTTGCGTCATTGATTCTGTAAATGTTAAATGGTGGCAAATATTTTTGGAACTTGCTAAAGTAAAGCCTTTATGTTTTTGGGGGGTTTTTTTGTTTGTTTTTTTTTTTGGGGGGTTCTCAGGAGCAAACGACTTTTCAACAGCTATCAAAACATCTGTCTGTTATGAAAGAACTTAACAAAAGTAGGTTATTTACTGGATGTAATCAACCTTCAACGCTCAGTTACAGAGTACCTGTCTGTTTTCCGGAAAGTAACTAATGACGTCATAACAAAAATTAGTTGAGATGAAGGACTAGGGACAGGCGATAAATTTCTTTGTTTTATAAATGTGTTCCGTGCCCGGATTCGAACTCACAAAGCTATAGTTGCCATAATAACCACGCCGTTCCAGCTGGTCCCAGCGATATGTATTTTTAAAAGAACATATAGTCTGCCGCAATAATAATTATAGCTTTTGCGAATAAAGCATTAAAATTTCACCAAGACAAAAAAAATCTACGAAAAAATAAAGGACAACAAATATGATAATTATTGGTGACAGAAAGATAATACGAACCGGGCATATTCCTCCATTGTCATTATCGGACTTGAAACCGGCACACAGTCTACCGAACAACGATCTCAGATTGTAATAGTACCCACATTCTCTGTTAGCTAAAATAGGCAGCTGTACAGATCTGGCATATCGTGATAAGCCCCCTCCTAAAATATACATGTATATACATAACAAATTTTAAAGGCACATTATGTATCAGAAACAAATAATTTTTTACTACTTTAGAAAAGGGAAACATAAGTTTTATAACATTTAATATAACTAATGTTGTTAGAGCATGTTAAATACTTGATACCTGAAGAAAGTAGCACTAAATGTGAATTAATTTTTCACAAAATAAAAGATGCAAAATGTAGCAAAGCAGTATTTTGACTTCCATACAAAATACTTAATCATTATAATGAGTAGCTTTCAGACTATAAAGAAGATGAAAAGAGCTTTTGAGAAATAAAATTCAAAGCATTTCTGGGGCATAATGGGCCTTTATTATCTTGTAAAATTAGATATTTGGGCGGTGAATGTTACGTAAAGTTTAATACATAATACTGTAAGGTAATTTCAGTGAAACGAAATGATGATACATTGTTGCTGATGTCTTTCATACATATATTTTCGGACCTCTTTAGGAATATCATACATTTTTACTAGGGATGTCATTCGGAGTCCGGTTATCCGAACGTTCGCATCACGATGGCCGTTTCGGCTCCAGATGTCATCTCTAATTTTTACATACGTTAATTAATAGTTGTCACCAGAAACACATATTGACAATTCCCAAGAAGACCAATCCGGAGTTTGAAGGAAATGGCCGAGAAAATGCGATTGTCAAGAAGTAATATTCTAAAGTCTAGTCGGGGTAAAAGTAAATCACGTGACCATGTCTTTTACGGTGTCATTCAAAAGACGCTCTAGTATCTTGGGAATCGGACTTGCGACTGCCGATTCTTTATATAGTTATTGCATGCTACATCACAGGTCAAAGGTTAAAATTAAATTTAAAATTTACCAGCAGACGTACATCCCCATCCGGTCATGTGACAGTTACTTCCCTTGTCCGGAAAACTGAAATCAAACATGCCCGGAAGTTTGATTCTCTTGATATGCTCGAACCTGCGACCAGACGGCACCGGGTCCGCCAATTTTACGATAGCTATGTCCTGATACCATAAATCTAGAGTCAAAATAAATATTAAGGAAATAATACATAAGAATAAATATTTATATTATTATAATTGTTATACATTAATTGATTAACTTGATTAGTTGTTATATATGAAATATAAACATTTTTTGCCATATTATATCTCCAATACACAAAGCAATACCTAAAGCCAAATGTGGATTGTTTAATCTGCTTATTTTCAAAATTACAACAGACTAAAAACTATCGTACACCATTCATTTGTACAATTATAGAAACTGTAAGAAAGTAAAACCACTAGTTTACCATTTCTGTTGTAACCCGGATGTATGATGATTTTAGACACATCTATTTCCCATATTCGCCAGTCTTTCTTGCCGAGAGTTTTCCCAAGAAAGTCCATAAATCTGTCAGCAAGCGCCACCTGGTGATTATCAAATAAGTGGATAAATCAAAGACAAAACAATATATATTGATAAAAAAACAACATTTAGTTATGTTAAATGTTTTGAATAAATGATGCCTGGGACATATTTCTGAGATTTCTGTCTTTGTATTAAAAAGTACATTGTGTATATTTCTTCCAACAGTAAACAGGAAAAACAGCTTTCTATTCCTCTTCTTCTCCTTAATCTTCGTCTTCTATTTCTTTTTCTATTTCTATTACTTTTTCTTCTCAAGGTGAGTGGATTTTCTTTCTTAAATACATTTCTCCATGCTTATTATGTACGTTTACATATTTAAGCTTATATCTCAAATTCACTTCTTTCAAAATATGAAAGCTGAAATAATTTAAGAATATTTTGGTAAGATTCAAGTTTATTTAGCCATTCTCCTGACTCGAAAAATACCAGTGTCATTACAGGAGTCAAGCTCGTGACCACAGTGAAGCTCGAACCCATGGTGATAACATTATGTTCACTAGGAAGTATATCCGTAATTTTACAATATCAAATCAAATTGTTTTCTTCTAAATTACCTTTAAATCTACAGCTGCTAACCGGACCTCCCATTCGTCAATATCGCGTCTGGAATGAAGGGAAGTAATAATGGCATATATGTTTGCGATTTACTATGAGAGTTGCTTCCCTTGTTAATTAGACTATAAAAGTTGTATAAAAGCTTACTTTACACTGTAAATGACTTAAAATACTGACCTCCCTTGATAGGATTTCTAACTATTTGAGCTTGGCATGATAATTTTCTTGGATATATTGCAGATTGTGCAACAGCTCATTACTAGTATTTCGAGATTTCTTACCCTGAATCAAAACAGTGTGCAGCTGTCAGGACATATCGGTCGTTAATGAGAGAACCCCCGCAGTACACGTGCTTGTGACCAATAGGTATTATACCGAATAACCTCTCTGTAACGATTTTCCCGTGCAAGGATACAAGCCAAGGTGTGTCACCCTTTGAGATCTCGGTTCCTCCGATCACACGCTTGTGCCTGGATAGCTTTTTTTCACCTTAAACGTATACAATATTCATAAAACATGAGTTTGTTATCATTTTCAATATCTTGAGCTAGTTTAAAATGTTGTTTAGATTTCTTTTTAATATTTCATACAGCATTAATCAAGAATCAGTTAAAATAAGTAAGATTTGCCCATACTTATAAGAATAGAAATTCAAAACGTTACCGCTATAGCTTCTGTGAAATTTCCTATGTTTCTTTATCAGATTGTCGTTTATTGATGAGCTTCATAAGAAATGATCCCTTAAGTTATTAAAGGGACTCCACTGATATTTTTGACATGACCGACATGACATTATATGGCAATTAATGTTCCATTTGATTATAGCTTTTGTGCAAAATTTCATATCATTCTCTCACTCCATCTTTATCTGGATTATTTATTCTAGTTATGTAAACTGACGCCAAATTGACAGGAGTTGCAACTTTTTTCACTCAAATCTGCCTATATAAAGCATTAAAAAATACAATTTTCAGTATAGTAGTTTAGTTCTGATTAATATGTATCTTAAATCATCATTTGCAAATCTCGGTTAAAGAGTCCTAGCTGATAGATGTATAATTCTTTATGATTTTTTTAAGGTTTTGGATCTCAGTGGAGTTCCTTTAAGATTATAACATTTGATGTACATGTGAAAGTTTCAAAAACTTACCAAATACGTTTGTTATCAAAACACAAATCAATAAAATGCACGTGTATCTAACAGTTTCCATCTTTATTGACACTATTTCCTCGTATTAAATATCAGCACGTTATTACAGCATATACAGTTTTATTTGTCATATATTTACGCGATAAAAAGAACACGTTTTCATATACTTATCGAAATATTGTATAATATGATAATACTATTCACCTACATTGTTTTGATGATTATCAAACCGGGTTGATGACACCGTGTTTTTATCTTGAAACTATAAACTCAACCTTTACCCCCTGCCTTTACTTATTATGGACTTGCCTGTCTTTGAACATAAAAGTGTTTATTGTAAATTTAAGGGGGTTCAATAAGAAAATATAAGTAATGGCAAAGTCCATGTAATAACACGGTCAAATTATGGCGGCACATACTTGCCATAAAAGCTTCGTGTGGCTAGATGACACTGCTAAAGATAGAAAAATAAACACGAAAAAAAACTGTAAATGTGATGTTCGTGAATTTTGGAAGCCTAGCAGTTTGAAGTAAAAGAGAGATACGGGATTTCTATAGAAATACGGAAACAAGCGAAATGCATTGTAATCCCTTCTTAGGGAAAGTAGAAGCATATCTGATGGGGTGCGAACCTTTATAAATGTAAGCTTAGCAGCAGCCGAGCAGAGAGGCAACGTGAAGTTTGCTCCCCGGCAGCCTCAAATTATAGTGACATATATATTCGACGAATAGAAATGACCGATAAATCACTTATCAACAATAACTTAGGACGTTTGCACCACATTTCAGGCTGTTAGGCTGTTAGGTGCTTAGGACGGAATTATAAATGCATTTTCTGCCATCTTCGTATGAGCTACTACGCTGCTGGACTGTAAACTGCAGACGAACCGTTGTTTCCTTGAGCAAGAAACTTTACACTCATTGCTCAGTACTGGTTGATTCCAGGAACATATTCGAGAGTGTGTCTATAAGCTTATAACTTCCTACACAATCGAACTGAAAAAAATCTGTATAAACCAACTTCAGGCTGCTAGCCTACTCGGCTGCTATGAAACCTTTTTTCTCCACCCTATAGATATATTTTTTTCATATGGCGAAAACCAGACACCATAGTTGAATAAAGCAATGAGAATACGAGCTGAAAAAAACAATAGTATTATTCATAGTCCAGACTCGTACTTGAGTGTTTAAACTTTTTACACTTCCGAAAATGTGACACATTTGTATTTGATGATCATATAGGAATTTATGTTATTTCTTTAGTGTTTTAGTAAAGTTGAAATATATATACCATTTTAGATAAAAACTGCGATTGTTGAGAAAGTTACAACTTCTCCGTTGTGTTCTACATTTACTGTTTCATAATATGTTACTTTCATGAAATTAAGTAATCATCATCATCATTGTCATCATCGTATCATCATCATTTATTCATTCATTAATTCATTCATTCTTAATTTATTATTATTATTATTATTATTATTATTTTATTTTCATTATTATTAGTAAACATGAAGTTAACACGCGCACTGCTGCGGAACTTAAAAACAGTGTCAGGTTTTCAAAGTTAAACAATATACGTCATATAGAGGCATGGTTACAAAACGTTGCTGCGTTATACATGTTACGTAACGTAACATTTCGTTGATCACGTGACTTGAAGGTAATGAATAAAAAAAAACTCATATATGTTTGTTACATTTTCAAATTTGGAATACTACGGTATGACATCAGCCATAAAATAAATACGTTGAATATATTAAAGGAACTCTACTGAGGTCCAATAGCCTAAAATTATATTCTAAATAAAAGTTTCTTAAATCAACTAGTACACTTAAATATAGATGATATATGAATAAACACGGTGTTAAATTGATAATCGATTTTTATGCGATTCTTGGCCGATTTCAGTGAAAAGGGTTGCAACGTTTTTCATTTATTGTGCCAATTTGCAGAATAAAATTGATTATTTCTGGAAAGCGGAGTGAGTAAATGATCTGAAATTTTGTACTTGAGTTATTGGTCTAGACATACATCTAGTAATACAAAAATCTTGAACAAAATGTTTTCAGTCCCTTCATGTCAAAAGACCGCAGTGGAGTCCCTTTAATCTATCAATAACCATAAGTCCAGTCTTTGACAAAAAAAAGTGATCGCTATTAAGAGGTACATGTAATTTGTAACATTGGACCAGAATGGTTTAAAGCTGCATGCCTCAAGATGAGCCATAAGGGGAAAATATTTTAAGAAAATCAATCTTGAGAAAAAAAAAATGTACTACGATTTAAAAAAAGAAGAATAGATTCAAGTAATAATTTAAATGTTATGAACGATTAATGACTGATTTTGTAGTTTTTCTCTGACTATTTCTGTTACATGTAATAGGGCTTCTTTTTGCATATTTTTCTTTTTTGGTAATTTACGTTAATTATAAAGTGTAAAATACCCTTTTTGTTCATTTCGCAGAAACTTATTTTACACACATTTGTTTTAAATTTTCACTTAATATAACACTTAACACTTAAAGTAGCTAAAGTAATTCACAAATATCAGACATATTTTAATTGATAAGTCTCAAAGGTGCGTCAATGGAACAAATATTTGAGCCGCGTCACGACAAAACCAACATAATGGGTTTGCGACCAGCATGGATGCTGTTCGTTATCAGTTTCTCTACTTGTAATAGACTTGGTAAGCGAACAGCCTGGATCCTGCATCCTGCGGATGCGCAGGCTGGTCTGGGTCCATGCTGGTCGCAAACCAATTATGTTGGTTTTGTCATGACGCGGCTCATTTATCAAATAAACTTTTGACGTACAGTGCTTGACATTTGAAAAAAAAACTGCAATATATTAGTTCCATACATATACAACGTATTTAATATCCCTATACAAGTGAATTAAGAAAGATCAAAGTTCTGTTGAAAAACTCCAAAATCCAATTACAAACCTTCAGAAATTCAATAGTTTTGACCGGGCTATGTACATGTATGTGAAGCATAAGTTATGGTACGGACAATTCAGGGATTATCCCCCCTTTAATCCCCAACATTAACTAAGCTTAATCCCTTGATCTACATGTTGATAAGCCGTTCATGGCATTATGTATTAATATACACGACCGGTGAATGATAGATTATCGTTTCCGTTTGATATGCTGATATTGTTTGTTTTTTTCTAATTTTGGAATGTAAATGAAGGATTCTTATTACTGAAGAAGCAACGCACACAAAGGTAGTTGCCGCTTTTATTTCATAATAATTATATTGATGCCCTTTTATAATTATTATGTTTCTATGTTTATTTGTTTGAGAATACAAATGAGCCGCGCAATGACAAAACCAACATAGTGCGTTTGCGACCAGCATGGATCCAGACCAGCCTGCGCATCCGCGCAGTCTGACCAGGATTCATGCTGTTCGCTGTCAGTTTCTCCACTTGTAATAGAGTTGGTAAGCGAACAGCATGGATCCTGATTAGACTGCGCGGATGCGCAGGCTGGTCTGGATCCATGCTGGTCGCAAACCCACTATGTTGGTTTTGTCGTGACGCGGCTCAAATGTTCTATGTTTATAAAAATAAACATTCTCTTTGTTAATAAAATAAACTTTTTACTGAAATTTAATCACGATCTTCATCCAAGGTAATGACATTCCGCACAATTTATTGCACGGTTCGTTTTATTACATTTATGTTGGTATTTCTTCATCTTCTTTATCAGCCTGGTAATCTAGGACCTGGTCTAGCTGGTGTAACCAGCAAGTGCCTTAAGATTTTTAGCAACACTTGGTCAATGAGCATAAACTAAATCGTTTATACTTGTAATTTAACCAAAAAGAGATAGAACATTTTGACACCCGAACTACACAAAATCCTTGAAGAAATTGCTGATACTGTAATATCGAAATCTTTTATAACTGTAATTAACCAAAAAGAAACTGATCATTTTGACACCCGAACCACTCAAAGTCCTTTAAGAAGCTGCTAATACTATAATATCTTTAGTTTGTCAGAAAATCAATCTGTTTTACGTGTTTCTTATTCACTCAATTTTGTACAAAAAAAAGAAGATGGAAAATTTAATTAAAAATCAAAAGTATTTCTTCCGCTTAGTCCTCTAGCATTTTAACAATATGTATAAGCACAAAGAACGAATCAGTATAGTAGAGGATTGATTTTAGCATCACCCTGATTTAAGCGTCTCCCTCAATTTTTTTTTTCAATTACGTAAGCAACAGTCAAAACACTGCCATTTTTCAAAAAGTTTTGTTTTTACTAAGTTTTCAAAATGCTATATAAATCATTATATTATAGTTTATGACATGACTCGACAGGGGATCGAGCTTGCAGCCAGCCACATAAATGAGGCGGACGCCAAGGGCGCTGCTTTGGTAATTTCATTCAACCGGTGGCGGGACATATTGATGAATTTTCAAATACGTACACCAAGATAAATAAACGTAATAAGCGTTAACAGTATAAATAAACACAATTAACATTTGAAAATTACTTAATAATCAAGATAAATTTAGTGTAATTGATTAAATCACAGTAATTCGATACGCTAAACTTCAAATTAACTTTGTAAATAGTATTTAATTATATATTATGTTCTTGTATGATTACAGTGTAAACAGTCTTCAAAATGCACGTAGAGATCTTTTTATTAATTCAGCATACCAGTTTTACCATTTGAAAAAATAAATTAAGTTTTCAACATACCTTTGAAAACGTAATTTTAGAAGGTAAAACGAAATTAAGTTTTATTTAAAATTCAAGGCTTATTTAATTTCTTTAGTTAGATAGATCTACTCATTTTTAATTCTCATATCATCCTCATATCTTCCTAATAACAGAACAATGCCATTGATGCCGACGCCCTAAAATTGTGTCGTCTGCGTAAAAAATATCGTCTGCATAAGTTTTGTCGTCTGAGTGAAATAATGTTCGTCTTCTGTGAAAACTCTTTTGTGACTCTTGCGTGAAAGTCTCCCATGTATATGTGATATTTGATGTCTCTTTCACAGAAACGTAGGATGTGAATGGATAAAGCACAAGCTATCGGCGTGGGACCAATCAACTCATTCAAAATAATGTCAATACAAAATCAAACAATTCTAATAAAAAATATATAACATATATAAAATATATTTCTGATACTATATTTGGTTGAAGTATATTTGGGTAGTTAAAAGGACCCTTGGGTTGTATCCTAGGGGAAGGGTTTGGTATAGTAGTAGGGCTTGGTCCAACGCTGATAACCTGTGGGGTAAAGACTTAGTATACTTATGCCTACTTCAACATGTTAAAATTAACCAAATAAATATCAGTATAAGTTCTGTCTTATTCGTAAATTTTGCGTCTGGGACGGAATTTATCACATATTCGTTGAACATGACCCTTCTCGAAAACGAGTTACCAAATAAATTCCATTTTGGTACATCTCAACCTCTTACCCTTAGCCAGTAGCAAATAATTTGAGAAAGTTTGCATAAAACAACATATTTCAACCTGTAGTGTATACTTTGTTTGACAATTACCTAAGATGGACTTTATTTGATTTTAAAGGCGTGTATACTTCACCCAGTTGGGATGGTTGACACAAGTTCGATCCACCACATCTCACGTGTCTGTGAGGTGTATGTCACGGAAGAATATCAAATCAAACAATGACGTCATCTTTATTGTCGTAAAAATTAAAGAAATGTCTCGTTATCCAAAATTGTTCAACACGTCAAAAATGGTGTTTTCGTTTATAAATTTAGAAACTTTTACTGTTTTCGGCACATCTATTTTTTCAGATTCTAAATTCTGCAAACATAAATATTTACCCACATGGCGCGAATTCTGACCTTTAGTACACGCATCAAAACAAAACAAGAAAAGTATTTACATCTCTAAATGTAATAATTAAAACCTCATCTTATTTTAAATTGACAAAGCTTCTTTTAAAAACATTGAAGTTATAAAAGAAACGAAAGCTTTTTGTGCGTCTTCGTTTTAACACTAGGTGTTAATGTAGTTTCCACTTTTGTTGACAGTTGTTTACCGGCCTAATTTCCATTTTCATTTATCAGTGTCAAAATCTATATAATTCAAAACAAATGAACCCAAAGTGCGTAAACTACCATAAAGGAGTGCACAAAAAAAATTCCTGTATTTCTATGGTAAGATAAAACTTAAGAATACGTAAATTCGCCCTTTTATCGACCTGTTGTTCAATCTATATCAAGTTGCAAAGGTAATGCAAAACTTTCACAAATAAAGGAAATTAAACAATGAAATCATGAACCAAATTCTGTTTGATCTCGTACCATAGAATATATCTATGTTGAGTAAGATGTGAAATAAACGTGGGAGAACAGCGCATAGAAATTATAATAATAGTGTTAAGAATATGATATGAATATGATATGATATGAAAAAAGAAAAATGTGGATAATTTAATTTGAATTGAAATTAATAAATGGTTTTATATGTGTTTTGAATATAAGATGACATGGGGAAAATTGCATTGTGTTCGTACGACCAAACTTCATTCAAGTGATTTATCTACTATACGGATTTCTTAAAGCATAATTAGTATAATTATTATATATAAATTTATTCGGAGAGTAGCGTGGCGAAATTGAAAAAAAAAAGTACGTTTGTTGAGTAAAAGAAAAGAAGACAAAATGTAGTAGTTATTCATTTTTTTATTAAAACGTATAAACGCTATGAAGTATATAAGATATATTGTAGCTTAAGACATGATATAACCTAACCGTATAGTTCATATTGTTATTTTAGTATAGCTAATAAAAATGCCAGCAATATTTATTGTTAAAGGAACTCCACTGAGGTCAAAAAGCTGTATCACATACATTTTGAAATGTTCACTAAAAACGGTAAAAAATATACAAAAATGATGATGACATATACTAAGGAGTAGCATTAGAAACAGATTTTGTGCAGGTTTTTTTTTTTTTTGTTTTTTTTTTTTTTTTTTGATAGGCCATTTTAAGTTTACAGCGTTTCAACGCTTTTCATTTATTGGTCAATTGGAAAATTAAATTATCACTGAACTTAATCGTCAAGACCTTAATAAATTGGTAAACAAAGTTCGAAAAGGGAATTTCTTCATGTAAAAAAAACTCAGTGGAGTCCCTTTAATTATCAGTTACTGAACTGAACATTTTTTTTCTTCATAACTTCCATCTGCAATTGTCATTTAAATTTTTGTATTACAAATTAACAATTAAGTCTCGTCACGTATTCAAAATGAAAGGATTTCAATAAATCAATAAGAAAAAAGGTATATATATATAAATAAACGTGTCAAGTAAGAATAGTTCTTTATCGCCTATTCATTTTACTTCCTTTCTTTCCCCGTATACATCTGTCATTTTTTTAGTTCAAAACAAACATTTATCTATTGAATTGTCGACAATCGTTTCGCTAGCGTGTATGGAAGAGGCCTTTTTTAAACAAATTGTATTCCAATTTATTATCGAGACTTTATCAACCCTTTACGTTTTAACCAACTGAAATATTTAAGAATGGTGATTTATCACATGCAGACGGTTATTTTTTGTTTGCTTTAATAATTTGGAATAGTAATAGGTATGTAGCTATTATTCTATTTTATCTATTATTTTTTATAACATTTTTTAGTAATTTTGAATTTAAACAGGTGGCTTTTCAGTTTGAGAAACGCAGATTGTACTTGTACACGTGGCTTAAACGTAAAAAAGGGCATTCTAACCAGAGATAATTTATATTGCGACCCGGCAAAAGATATACATTTGTATAACATAAAATCTATATAAAAATTTGTTTTACGTATTGTTATCTACACATACCGTTACATTTGTGACAAGGTTCGAGGACAAAAAAGAAAAATGTAGTTTAAGTACACACTTTTTTTTTCAATACTAACACTATACCAAATCATGAAGAACACAGAAATATTTGTGAACCATCATCAGATTCTGTTGTAAATGCTGTGCTGCGCTAGTGAAAGAAGCACACTAGTGTTTCCGCTATGCGGTAACCGGAAACGGACTAAAGATGTTGTCAGAGACGACGCACCACTGACGCCAGTTCCGGGGAAAATGATCCCCGATGAACCAAAAGAAAACCATAGTCAGTCCGATCCTGTGCTTCAAAAACAGGAAGTACAACCGACTGGGCCAGCTCCTGTGGTAAATAATAGGCCACAGGTTCAAGCGAAGTCCAACTTCTCAAAATTAAGGGTAAGGTTGTAAGGTCTTTACATAAAAAGTCTCAAATTATACAAATGAGTCTATCATAATGTTTTATCTCATGTTTCCGCCAATATTTAAGAGTACTCTTCATTTGTAGGTCAAGGGCTTTTGGGTTGAGTCTTCTAAATTTCTAGAGATAAGTGAGATATTTAATTCAATTAACTTTCACCATGATCATAGCTTCTGTCTTCAAACTTCAAACACTCAGGTGCTGTCATTTCGTAAACAAAACAAAAAATACAATAATGATGATAATAATAATAATGTTGTTGTTGTTGTTGTTGTTGTAACAATTTATACGGTTAACACGAAAGTTAAACGACTTGGTATCTATAGCACCGTAGATAAATATTGATTTAAAAAAGAATATAATAACGCATAAATATAGCAGAGGAAACGTAAAAATACTATACCCCGCGTATCGAATGTGTAAAAGGAAATGCGATCATTTGATTTTAATGTTATTTGCTTAACCATATCAATATGCGACTATTGCACAATGCAATGGTTTAACATGTTTGTAAATTATTCTAATTTGTAATTCGTTTAAAATATTCGGTGCACGTGATTTTACATAAAGATAACACATGGGATCTATTAAATAGAATATGTTTTTGTTTTACTGGACTTAATTATGGTTACGCTCATTAAAACTGATTAGATATATAGCTATATAAATGGATAGAGTTAAAGTTGAATAAAAGTGTTTTGTTTTTATTGTAATTCAGCCGATTGGAAACGCATTATCTTGATAAAGTCAAGTTAATTGTTAACGTACAAACGGTTATATACAAAGACAGACTTTACAGGTCGACGCCTGGCATCATTTTGCAGGTATTTAAGTGAAGTCTTCATTTTTTAAAATATTCTAACTTTAAGGTCTATTAAGTACTTTTTTAGGTTAACATTTCACTACAGTAATTATCATTCACGATACGAGCTTAGCCTTGAGTGTATTATGACCATTGCGTGAGTGGGTTTGCGAACGCTAAAATAATTGTAGAGAAGTTAAATGCCTACATGAATTATGCCCAAGATATGTTTTTATAATTATTTATCAAAAGATTTCAATTTCTTTTGTACCCATAGTTACTCGTGCGCACTAATTAATCACCTCGAGCGCACGACTAAATAACTCATGCGTACGATATAGTATCTCCTTCGGACGAGATTATAAATAAAAATTTACACATGTCATCTCTGCGCCACCGTAGTTTTCCTTACCGTTATCCATTGCTTTATTTCCTGAACCATAATTAGTTTTTGTAGCTCTGGCAGTTAACACAGTTACAGTGGTTGAAAGTTTAAACATGTGTTAATATTTTGCTACTTTTGTTGAAAATAATTTCACATTAAGGCCTACCTTTCTTTCATGTGACAATTGTATCTCTGATCATGTAATATCATTATTCTTACAGTATCTGTTAAGTTAAGCGTTATAAAACTCACGCTTTTTCACTTTCTACAGAAAGAAAAATTCAATCGTTTCTGGGCCAAAATGTTCCTTTAAGTTTAATACCTTTTCTTCTGTATTTATTTGTTTTGTTTTTTTATTTTTGTTAAAGTGAGATTATGCACAGTTTTATTCTTTGTCAATTTGAGCTGAATTTACTATAAATTTCAAATTGACAGTTAAAATGGTGAAAGACGAACAGTTTAAAAATAGAGGGAACAGTGATTGAAAGAATTGGAACTGGTTCATGAATATAAATGCCACACATAGATCAAAGAAAAAGTTGATAAGTCAAAAATGTTGATATATACGTTGTCATATTTATTCATTCATTCATTCATTCATTCATTCATTCATTCATTCATTCATTCATTCATTCATCCATTCATTCATTCATTCATCCCTCCCTTCGTTTGTTTGCTCAATCATCCAGTCATTCATTAATTCTCATTCGTTCGTTCGTTCATTCGTTCATTCATTCATCTGTTTATTTATAAGTTCTCATTCATTCGTCCATTCATTCATTCATTCATTCATTCATTCATTCATTCATTCATCTGTTTATTCATCATTCATTCATTCATTCATTCATTCATTCATTCATTCATTCATTCATTCATCTGTTTATTCATAAGTCCTTCATTCATTCATTCATTCATTCATTCATTCATTCATTCATTCATTCATTCATTCATTCATTCATTCATTCATTCATTCATTCATTCATTCAGTCATGCATCTGTTTATTCATAAGTTCTCATTCATTCATTCATTCATTCATCTTTCAAAAGTTCTCATTCATTCATTCATACTTTCAATTAGTTCTCATTCGTTTCATTCATACTTTCAATTATTCATTTTTTCGTTTTTTTTTTTTTTTTTTTTTTGTTAATTCGTTCACGTAATTTTAAAAGATAAATGTCTCACTGTCAAGACATATACAATGTATGTATGACAACAAGCGGTTCAGGTATAAATTAGGATAATTTATTTCTATCACAAATCAAAATCAAAACGATGTTCTAGCAAACTGTATTTCTAAAGTTGTTTCCTTTTTATAATAAATCCTACTGTTACCTATTATTCTTATTCAAATCAGGAAGAGCGCACAAGGAAATGACACAGTATTAGTGTTATTTAGTAGGATAAAAAGGGGAGGTTGACATTTTCAAATTTTGATAAACATTTCAATCATTCTATCCAACAAACTCTTATCAATATTTGATAAAAAATACAAAACAAAATTGAATTGTGCATCAAATTATAAAACGAGTTTATAAAGGAAATGTAATGTGCCGATTCTGACATTTATATTTTCAAAAAAGCAAAACTTACAATGTATATGCATATATTTTTAAGGGTCAATGTCTCATGCCGGCTGTCTAATATATGAATATTTCTTATCACTGAATCTTCAAACTCAAATTGACAATTCATTTTTTTTTTTTAGATTTTCCTAATCTTTCTTTTTTATAAAAAATATATAATGGTAACCATAATTTGCGAAAAAGAAACACAAGGATGAGATCTTCGATATTTCAAACTAAGCGTCACAATTGTTCTATAGTTCTACAGTCAATCCCCGCCAAGAACTCTTTAACACAAGTTACAAAATTTAAAATATCAATTTTCTTTACTTACAGACAATGAGTGCCCCTGGTCGTCTGCTAGCGACATATCCGCTTTTGCCGACATTCAAATATAGCGACAAGCTAGACTGTTATGTCGACGACATCAGTGCCTTAGATCCGGACATTCCTGGACCACACCCACCGCCGACAAAGAAGGCTGAAATATTCAATCCGGCGGACTATATTGATGTGGACAATAGAGCTGTGAACGTAAGTAAAGCTCGCTGAAAGCCTCGTAACTAAATTCATGAATCTTTTAAACGTGGCAAAATATATCATTGGGTAAGATAGAGGACAGGGGATGAAACCGATTTCCCGAGGGTTGGGATTTCTCAGTCCTCTATCTCATCTAATGATTGATATTTTTCATTTTACTGGACACACAAATTTCTCAATACAATGTTAAAACACCCGTTTAACTACTTTTGTTGGGCATTAAATCCTTTATTGAGAAGCAGGGCAAAGACACATCGAAACAATTTTTGACGGGCGAGGGATTTTTACGAATTGCATTTTTTGCACGAACGATGGTGTGCGCCGATAACTATGTATAGAAGAAACGGCTCGTTTTACCTAATAGATATCTGATTTTAAAATTAAAAAAAAAACAAATTCCCAAGATAACATTTTTTTTCAATACAGAACTGAAGACATTCTTCTATCTCTCAATCGTGCTTATGTATATATAGCCCCTCTCTGATGTCCGGTCTCCTCCGGTTTCTCCAGATCAGCAACATTTGGAAACCGGCGACAACTACACATATTTATTTACTGGTTTTTCCTAGTTATAAAGCAGTAATTTCTATTGCTAAAGATCATGACAATAAATGCAGATCTTAATATAAATACATTATTATTCTAAACTGTTTGTAAATTTATCCTAAAGGCATTAAGAAGGTAAGACTGACTTTAAAAACCAATACGACAAAATTATTTCAAATGTATACGTTTTTTTATTCAATCAGACACCGATCAAGTTTCATCGACAGTCGTTAAAGGATTTGGTGGACTATCTTATTGTTGGCTATGACGATGACATGTCCAAAGTGCGGGTCATTTACCGATGGATAACTAGCCAGCCTATCGACTTCCTGCCAATGAAGAAAACACCGTCTCAGAGCCAGTCTATATTTCAACTTTGGCGTATCAAAAATAAGAAAGGAAATTATGCCCAGCTTGTTAGCTTGCTATGCAGGTAAGAAAAACCATACTGACCCTTTGGTCTCTGTACTTATATCACCTTAAAAGTATTCACAACAGATAAAATGAAACCCCCTGTTTTAGTTAACTTGTGTCAAACAATATTTAAAAGAGTGAATATCGTACTTTGAAGCACTTTATGATCATAGAACCAGATATATAAACCAAATTCACAATCTCAAGTAAGGGATAAAGCAAACACAATCCACCTTTGGTCTATTATCACACTATATGTTTTCATTGTAATATATATTTCATTCAAGATATGCGGACATACCCTGTGTCATCATACATGGGACACTTAAGGGATCAACATACGAGGTCGGAGACCGAATCGATGATGACAAACACTATGGTGAATGGAACGCTGTCTTGGTCGACGGACATTGGCGTTTTATCAACGCTTATTGGGGCACATGCGCAGAGGGCGCTGGTGATGATTTCATTCCGAATGGCGATGACGTCATAGAAAATGGCGACTCTGCATCTAGACTGCATTATTTCTGTGACGAAAATTACTTTTTGACTGACCCAGATCAAGTTGTTGCAACGCATTTACCGACATTGCCAAACTGGCAACTTAAAAAAGACCCCCTGACTCTAACAGAATTTGAGCAGATGACATTTGTTAAAGATAGATATTTTAATCTGAAATTAAGAACATTGACTCACCCAAAGTGTGTTGTCGTGAGCGATTCCGGCCAGGTGGAAATAAAGTTCGCGATTCCTCGACAATCGTCATTGAACATAGACTTTCAATATCTTCTCTTCCGTCTGGAAGATGGTGTGGAGAAACGGTAAGCTATTTAAAATTGCCTATCTGTCATTTAACAAATGTTAGTTAGTTATATTATGACATGTATGTATAATCAAACATTTGGTGCCCTTACTGTATGTACAGAAGTATACTAAGGATGGCCTGTTCGATTTGGGATACGGAAAGAGCTAACTGAATTAAAGAGCTCTTTCGGACTGTTCGATTGGTCGCCTTCTATCTTAAGAAGCTCTTCTGTCTATTCCATCCGATAGACAGAAAACTTGGACAGGGTAAAAGTCACGTTATCAAACAGCATGTCTGACTAATATAAAATATTTTAATACTGGGAGTACTTACATTTTTCTTTCATCTGATTGAGATAATAAATATTTTATCACAAATCAAGTACAAACGTCAGCTAAAATTAAGGTCGTTAAAGTCTGACTGGACGCCATTTTGAAAGGACTGCCGACCGTCCGATTCTTTGTTTCAAAGATCTTGTAACTTATTAATTCTCTACTTAGAAGAGCACAATCGAACCAGCCATTGATTAATGCTTCATAGCGAATCTTTGGCAGCAACATTGTTTGAGTGTTCTTTTTTTTATTTATTGTGAAAACTATGAAGAATTGCGTAAGACAAAAAACTTTCTTTGCAAAAAGAAAATGCAAAGGACAAAGGACTTGTAATTTAGACAGACAGTATTTCAGCTTATAAATGTCTCAGATCATACTGTGGTATGTAATAAAATATATAAAACCATGGTACATTCCAAGTACAAATGACAGCTTTAAAAAAACCTGTTTCTTTTATGAATATTTCCTTATATACTACTTATGTGTTTGCAGATACTAGCATCGTTTATATGTGTTTTGCTACATTTCCTTCTCTTTTTTGTTAAAACCTTATAAGAAGATTTTTCATACTCCATGATCGTGTCGTTTAATTCTCATACCTTACTTTTTAATGCCCATAATGCCTCAAAAGTACATCTCAAAAACTTTAAATTTTTGGTGCACTTTTTAAGTTTCGAAAACGCTGCTCACTGGCCAATTAACAGAACAATCTTTTTCTTCTATTACATTTTGTCAAAGACAATGAGTACAATTACAGTAATGTGTATTTTGTTTGGAAGTCAAAATACCACTTTGTGTACATTTTCTTCTTTTATGACAAATGTTGTCACATTTAGCTGTAAGAAGATTCTTACATGGTCTTAAACCATTTTTAAACGTTATAAATTCATGTTTGCCCTTTCTTACACTTTTGAACTTCACCGACGCTAATGATATGCTTTTCCTATCAATAAGCGCAAAGTAAGGCTGCATTACCACTTCACAATGTCAAGTCAGGGCAAACCGTATTATTACATATTAAATATTAAGGTAAAAATACCTCACTGATTGCACTTTTTTCAACAGAATTGACCGGTATGTGTTCATGCACCGCACCAACAATAACGAGAATCTCACAGTGAAGATACGGTCACCGGAGAGGCAAGTGTACAGGTTCGAGCTTGTTGGCAAGGACGTTACCATTGGGGGAGACAACTATGACTATGATTGGATTGCTATTTATAAAATCATTTTTAAGTAAGGGTCCATTGCTTTTTATTAGCTTATTTAGCCCAAGAATAACAAACAATTATGCATAAATAGGTTTTATTATCTCCGACTGTTAATAACATAGTAAAGTATTTACACAAAAGGAAATGTTTTGTAATATATGTTATAATTGAAAATTGTAAGCATTTTTAAAGTTTGATTATGGCTTTGATAAATTGCTACAGTTATTGTTTCGTTATAGAATAAGCTCATTGAATATGTATGTTACACTTGTAAGGATTTTTATTAACTTTGACAATTGCATTAACAGCGAGGGAATGTATGGGTGTAAACCGTTTCCACCATCTCCGGCTATAGGATGGGGTCCAGGCCGCGTTGCATTAGATACAGGATTGGTTCCACTCAGTCATTTCTCCGGGGAGATAGAAATGGACGATTATGGAAAAGTGGAAATTAAATTTGGAATTGCAGACAAGTCGAGTATCGGTGACATGTACTACACTGCCAAAGTATATACAGGTGGGGAAACAATGGAGGAACTTCCGGATTACTGCGTTCATCGAGTTGAAAACGGTGACGTCATGTTTAATGCCATGACACCGAAAAGGGGAGAATTTGTTCTTAGACTGTTTGTTAAAGATGGCCATGATGGTAAATCGCGGGAATTTTGTGATTATTTACTTATATCAAATCAAATAGACGAAAATGGGAGGTTTCCGAAAGGATTTCAAGCAAGACTGGGTCCTAAAAATCCGGCTTTTGCAATTTCTGGTCTTAGCCCTACGAAGGCGTCCGGATTCATCCGAACGGAAATGGACGAAGTTAGCATCGGATTCTCTCGTGATGAAGATATTGAACTGTCCGTGAACTTTTCAGGTGAAAAAGTTAAACCATCAGAAGCACCATTATTATTAACTCAGAAAGAAAATGGACCAGTTGTCAACTATTCTGTAAGGTAAGACAGCTCTTGCTTTCTTCCAATTTTTTACAGACATATAGATTAAAAGCCTAGTGTGGTCTCATCAATTAACACATTGAGAACTAGGCCTTATTTCAATGGGGGCGACCGTGGCCGAGTGATTGACTTCAAACAACTTGCCCCCTCACCGCTGTGGGTTCGAATCCTGTTAGGGACTTTGGATTCCTTCATGTGAGGAAGCTATCCAGCAAGCTTACGGAACGTCGGTGGTTCTACTCAGGTGCCTGTTCGTGCCTGAATAATGCACGGAAGACACCTGAGGTCTTCTTCCACCAGTAAAACTGGAACGTCACTATATGACCTATACTGTGTCGGTTTGACGTAAAACCCAATCAATCAAACAAACAAACTTATTTCCATGTTTCCTTTTTTCCTTTTGTTGTTGTATTCATGTTTCTGTCTTGATCTGGATGTTGATCTCTCTCTAACTCTATACAAAAGAAATCTTAAATTGTTGTTCAAATACCACCCTTGACACTTAAAAAATAACACAGTAGAATATTATTGCGCAGAAGTCAGCACCTAGTCAGAGCCTTGTTTATTGTCTTCATTGTGTCGAGGTCTGTTTAAAGTTGGTAGATTGACCTGTCATTTGATTTGTTGATGGCACTTTAAGATGTTATTGTAAACCTTCAGTTCCCAAGCATGCAGTTTCTGAACGCCATTTTCCCCAAATATACTCTAAATTATACATACATATACATGTCAATATCATCTTTACCTATCAGATTACCAGAAACAGGCCAGTACGGAATAAAAGTTCGTGGAACCCGTGAAGATGGCAATGTGCACGAGCCATTATATGATTACGTCATAGACTACCGAAAACCAAAGAAAAGAGTCAAATCGGACCCAACGATCGAACAAGAAGCGAAAATGTTTGGAAGTACAGGTATTTTGTTATATATTGGCTTTTTTGCCAATTATTAACGACTCAGTTTAACATAAATGTTTCTACTATTTATTGTAAATTCAAATATACGCGGAAAGTAATTTGAAGGTAGATTCAGGATGTTTTATGATGATAATCAAACAATCTTTATTCGTATCATTCAATAACGTACAAAGCGCAGACGAATTATCAGGGTCCTAAGCTAATTCCTTTTATTGTAAAATTCCTCTGACATCATTTCTTTAGATGAAGAAGCTGAGGAAAAAGAAAATTTGGAGACTGAGGAACCTAATGCAGAATCAGAGTCAGGTAGATTAAACTAACCTTGCTCGAGCTATGACCTTGACCTATCAGCAGCTAAAGCTTCTTGTTATTTCTTTTTTTTTTTTGCTTTCCAACCAGATCATTAGGAAATACTTCTTTTTTCTTGGCTATTTTCTTTTTTACTATGACGTTTGTTCATGTTCGAGCTAAAGTCTTGGCCTACTAGCATCTGGCGCTTGTTATTATTTCTTGTTTGTTTTGCTTTCTAGATGTTTAAAGCAGCACGCCTCCAGATTCATGCTTATTTTCATGAAAAGTTTGAAAATGTTTATTAATGTGTAATATTGTGAAGTAACCAAAAGGAAGCAATTAACACATTAGCAATGGCACTTATAAACCACGTAAATTACCAAAAAATGGTCAAAATATGCATAAAATGCCTTTACTGCGTTAGTAACGCAGTAGAAATATAGTTGTTAATACTGAAAAAAATCAGTCATTAATCGCACATAATACAGGTATGTAGAATAGTATACTTGAATCCTGAAACTGTTTACTTTTCCTTACATCTTAGTACATTTTTCTTAAGTTTGATTTTATTGAAATGGAGTCATCTGGAGGCATGTAGCTTTAAGAACGTTGTTATTTATTCCATATTTTCATTTTTCTATATTTGTTGCTTGCCATTAGGTCCATGGCATAATGTTGCTTTAAAATAGTATATAAGTTGTTATAGATATAGTTGTGGCTTGTCATGATTTAATATTGAAACAAGTTTTTCATGTTTTACCTGCGGTACATGTAGTTATTATTTTACATGTAGAAGTTAATATGGCAATCTTATGTAATAATCGGTGTCTACATACAAAAATTAAATATGTTACTCTGTTTGCATACTTCGACGATTAAAGCTTACGCGTTGGTTGTATGCGTCTTAAGCTGTATACGTTGTAAGTTGTATAAGTCGTGAGCTGTATACGTTGTAAGCTGTTAATGTCGTAAGCTGTCTATGTCGTAAGCTGTCTATGTCGTAAGCTGTCTATGTCGTAAGCTGTATAAGTCGTTAGCTGTATAAGTCGTGAGCTGTATAAGTCGTGAGCTGTATACGTCGTAAGCTGTTTATGTTGTAAGCTGTCTATGTCGTAAGTTGTCTATGTCGAAAGCTGTCTATGTCGTAAGCTGTCTATGTCGTAAGCTGTATAAGTCGTTAGCTGTATAAGTCGTGAGCTGTATACGTCGTAAGCTGTTTATCTTGTAAGCTGTCTATGTCGTAAGTTGTCTATGTCGTAAGCTGTCTATGTCGTAAGCTGTCTATGTCGTAAGCTGTATAAGTCGTGAGCTGTATACGTCGAAAGCTGTTAATGTCGTAAGCTGTCTATGTCGTAAGTTGTCTATGTCGTAAGCTGTATAAGTCGTAAGCTGTATAAGTCGTAAACCGTATACATGTAAGCTGTATACGTGTACGTTGTATACGTCGTAAGCTGTTTCTACTTTTTTGGTTAGAAATCTTTACTACTTATACAAAATTTGTGTGATTAGCTGTCATAAAATATTTCACATATGATCACTTGATGTTAAACAAAAGACACATCCTGAATATAGTTTTCCTAAGTTCTATGAAGGACGTATGCATCTAGCTTAATGACACCTCATTAAAGGGAGGTAATAAAGCTCTTCGTAATTGCTTCGCTTCTTGATTTGTCAACTGCTATCAAACTTACAACGTTCATATTTACGAAGTTGGTGGTAATCTATAATAGCGATAACTTTTTACCAATTTAAGAGATAATCCTGTCGGATTAAAGATACTTTTGTACAAATACACGATCTTTAAAGAAAACAGATGCAAAAGTCTGATTTAAACCTGAGCTCTTATCACTTTGCTTTTGTGAGGGATTAAGATTTAAAACTGTGAAAGAACGGTTCTTCTAGCTTTTATGACCATTTTAACTAGATAAATGGGTAAGAATTTTAAACATTTTTTCTATTCTTTTTATTTCATTTTTAATAATAGAATTCCAAGATAAAGTGTTCATTTCTTCATCAATAGTAGTAATATGATTTGCATCAATGTGCCAGTCAATCGAATCCGATATTTGATAGAATTGTACAACTTGTAGAATGTGACTATTGGTCGAATTTATTTATGTCGAAAGTTGTCGAAAATTTGTAAATTTTGCCCAAAAAAGTAAAAGAAAGACAAATTATAAAATACAGCTCAAAATGTATGACATATTCTAATTTCCCTCAGATATTCTTGATTATGAGTTAAGAAGTAAAACTATTTCGAGAGTTAATCACTGATGTATATGCCATATGAGTAAATTTATGTCAAAATCTGATATTATATATATGCAATTATGGTAGAAATACTGCGGTGCCAATATATCGTCAATTGAGAATGTAACTAAAATGTGACCAAATATCTTAATAGATTATGGAGCAGAATATTTTCTTGTGAAACAGATCTCTTATACTTCTTTTTTCTATAGTTGGGTCATAGTTAACAGAACATTATTCATATTTACTTACCGTTATAACCATCAAATCAAGACGGCCTCAGAATTTGTGTGGTTGGGCTATTTCAAGTGTTGTAGGATTAAAGTTTATTTCCGTCATTTGTCGTAAAAAAAAACTTATTTTCGATCAGATGTCGTAGTCTAAAAAAAAGGAAATAAATAAATAAATAAATAAATAAATAAATAAATAAAAAGAAAGCAAAAAATAAGAAAGTAATATTTTCAATGTTTTGAAATTCCATTATGCCTGAAGTAAATGCATTTCCGATTTCAGACAACTTTACGGATGTTCTACGTCGGCGCGTGCGCATGGCGATAGAGGAAAATAGTCCGGAGGAATTAAATGCTGTCATTAAAGAAATGAAAACATTAAAACTTCCGTCCATTCAACCGGACATCAAATACGCAGAAGAAATGCTGCAATTATTGAAGATTAAGAAAGGTAACTGCTATTTATTTGATTTAATTTGCTTTTATTTCTTTCGAATTTGCAGCCAGTCAGAAAAGTAGAAGATTTGGGTATCATATGGTAATCGGAACATCTCTGCTTTTATCAATGGTCAACTCGGATTGATCTTGTGGATATCCTTTTAAAGGGACTCCACTAAGGTCTGGTGACTTAACAGGGCCTGGAATCATAACTTTTATAATTGTGAAGCATTTGACGAAGGTGTGGACCTATAACTTTGTGTAAATTTTCAAATCATCTGTTTGCTCTGTTTCTCCAGAATTATAACTAATTATTTTTTTATTTTGAAAGGAAAAGTATATTTGTTCATTTTTCTTTAAGTATGTTTCCCTTTTCAGTGCCCTAAATGATTTAGGCAATAATTTCAATTTTAATTTTGTTAAGTTGCTGGACCTCATTGGAGCTTATTTAACGATAATTTTTGTATTCGGTTCGAATCCCATTCATGTACACATAATGAATTAAGCATTCATCATTAGAGCGAGTCTCAAAGCAAATACACGTCACCTTAACTTCATTTTGATCCAGTTTCCTACAGGGGATTTTAATGTATAAACAAAGGCCTGTACTCAATTCTAGACATTTTGGTATGTACCGGAATCGTTCTTGGTTCGGTTACACACGGATTTTATCATAGCTAGAATTTAAACTGGTTCTCTTGAAATTTAGTTGGTTTCTAAACTACTTGGAGTTTATTTAGCTTATCAAAAATTTACATTACAGTCCAAAATCAAATAAAACGTGGATAACGAAGTACATTGTTACGTATATACTAGATTTTAAATTAGACTCGACCCGGAGTTTAAATCTGGTATGCTTTTATAGATATGTGGGTATACACAGATAGTGTAAATAGTCGGGGATTCGTTTTTGATAACAGCTAATCATATTGATGTTCGACACCAGGTTAAAATTACACCTCCTTTGCGATTTCAATATTGCATAAATATGTTTAAAAAAAATACAAATATCTTTTTTTCTTATCAGAAATGAAATATGCACTTAATCCTGAATTCCCTTGCTTATGTCAAGTTTATTCGGGATAATATTAACCGAATGAAAGACATTAGTTCGGAAATTCTTTGATCCGGACATAATTTTGTTATAAAAAACCAAATTATGATCAAAGGACGTGAAGTTCACAACACTTTTTTGAAGTAGTTAAATAACCCATAACTTGCTAAATTTTATAAGTGGACATGCCCATCTTGAAATCTGGATAAAAACATTCATTATTTTGCGGAAAATTTGCAAAATAACTTAAATTACTTAAATACGTACAGTGCAGACCGCGAACAGTCACCACTGATGAGCCGGTAGATCTTGGTCTGCACTGGTCGCATGGGAACAAACTGTTGTCATTAACATGCAGGCTCAGGGAAAATTGTGGTATTGGACAAATCATGTAAAAAATAGAAAATCTTTGTATTACTTAATACAGTAACATTATTTCCATAAGCTGTTTTAATGTGTAGATCTTTTAGAAATTTCTACCAATAAAAAAAATTACAACTGAAATCTGTTGAAAGAAACTTTCTCTAGCTTTTGACGCTCATGTTAGACTTATTTTTACACGTTTCAGTAAACTATGTAACTATATATACTACTACCACTTTGTGAATCGATTAGGCAAACCAAGTTTACAAATGTAGCAAAGATATAAAATTATTTTTCAGTAGATTTCCTTACACTGCACATTGGTAAGATTTATCTGTAATTAGATGAATAAATGTACTTTACTGTGCCAAAATATCACTTAATATTGATTCAACTCCCTTACTATATATACTGCACGATGCAATCCGTTGTATCCTGTGAACTACGTGTACTTTTTGTTGAATGTGAAATATTATTCGCCCATTTTAACACATCAAGATAATAACTTTGATTGACGAAGGCGATAGTAAGAATAATTATTGTTTTACATAGTTACTATAATATGAATTTTGGATTATAATTATGAAATCTAAAATCTCTGATAGTGCGATGCAGTGTTAATGCACAAGTAAATTACAAGTTATGTAGATTACATTATTATTCTGATATTGATTTACAGGGAAAGTCATCTATTAAATTTTAACTTTAGTCCATATTCAAGATATACAAGTAAGTGAAAAAATAGAGATTCTTTGAAGGAGAGGTAGATAGGAATGTCATAACGACACGGACAAAGGTTGTGTCACGTTCCTGCAATTCAGTACTAGTTAGCGGACTCATGTGTTAATTATTTTAAGCACGAAAGGGCACCTGAATAGAAACACCGATCTTTCATAAGGCAGATGGATAATTTTCTCAAATGAAGGAATCCACATTTCTCCCTGACCTTGACAGCGGTAACGGTCAATGGTTTGAAATCAGCGGCCCCAACAGTTAACCATTCACTGTCTAGCAACAGAGCCTTTTTTCCAAGCGATTTTTTTTATAAAAATGAAAGTATATAGAATTGCTTAAAAGTGACACAGGTATCACTCAATAGTGATGATGCATATCGTGAAAAACGGAGATCTTTAAAAGCAATGAAAACAGTATGAATACGAAAGTTAAAACCGACAAAAGATTAATCCATAACCATAATTGAAGTCAAGCAACATAAATACAGGTATACCTTAGTTTTAACTAAACCCAAAACAACCAATTCACGTCGAGTATATTAAGTTATCAAGACATGTTAGTGAAGCATGTATATGTCATTATATTTAAGTCTTTTCTTTACTTTAATACTTCAGTTTCATGATTAGATTCTTTAGCTATCTTAATATTGACAAAACTACTACTTATGTGCTTTATGTACTTACAGAGTTACTAATAGGAATCCGGGACAAAGACTCAAAAAAGATCAAAGCAGCATTAAAGAAGGTCAAGGCCGCTGGCGTTGAGGACAAACTTGAAAGGGAGGTCACAATAGCAAGGAGTCTACTCCAAAGGCATGATTACAATCTGTCTCTTAATTCACGTTCATTACGGAAACACTTAATTTCTTCAGTAAATACATGTGCACTTAAAGGGACTCCACTGAGGTTTAAAAGTCTAAAAACATAACATTTTAAAGTCTTACATAAATGAGTTGGGGCACTTTAAAGAGAAACATATGCAAAGATAGTTTAGAAATATACTTTGAAATAAATTGAAAATCGTATTTTTATGCTTTCCTTAGCCCGATTTGAGTGAAAAGCGTTTAAACGCTTTTCATGTTTGGACATTATTTTACAATTTGAATAATTATTTCTGGAAAAACGAAGTGCGCGAATGATCTGAAATTTAGTGGTCTAAACCTACATCAACTGATACATTTATCTGGAAAAATATTTTCAGTCCCATCATGTCAAAAAACCTCAGTGGAGTCCCTTTAATATCCGAAATATAATCGTAAATGCTTATATATACGGTGTTCCGTTTGGACAATAGTGATTTCTATTTCATCTTTACCCGCGATGCACGATGACACGATGGTGAAAACGCGATGGTACGATGACACGATTATGAAATTACGATGGTACGATGGTGAAAACACGATGATACGATAGTGAAATCGCGATGTTGCGATAGTACGATGGTTAAAACGTTATGTTTCACCATCGTGCCATCACGCCATCGTGTTTTCACCATCGTACCATCACGTATTCATCATCGTACCATCGCGTTTTCACCATCGTGCCATCACGCTTTCACCATCGTACCATCACGTATTCATCATCGTACCATCGCGTTTTCACCATCGTGCCATCACGCTTTCACCATCGTACCATCGCGTTTTCACCATCGTATCATCTCGCTTTATCTATCGTACCATCGCGTTATCATCATCGTGCCATCGCGTTTTCACCATAGTACCATCGCGTTTTCACCATCGTGCCATCTGTAGCGCCGATATATGTCCAAACGTCGAAAAATGTCCAAACGACGATAAATGTCCAAAAATTGACGATAAATGTCTCAATCGCCGATAAATGTCCAAAACTCCTTTAACGATATAAGTCCAAAAATTAACGAAAAATGTCGCAACAAATTAGGTGCTCATAAATGTCCATATCGGTTAACGATAAATGTCTCAACTTTTCATAAGCTAATTTGTAACTTATTGTATTTGATACTGTAACAGTCTATCCAACTAACCCGTGATTTTACCCTCTGGTTTACCCCCGACGTAAAATGTATCATACATTGGTCTATGGGAGTTTTACATTGAAGGATATATTGAAGTAACGTTATAATAATATATAATTAACACATGACTGTCGGGGTGATAGAGGATATTGTCAACACGAGAGCTGGTATATTACACCGAGGCGCAGCCGAGGGTAATATGCCGGTTCAAGGGTTGGCAATATCCTCTATCACCCCGACAGCCATGTGTTATTTCTTTTATTATACCGAAAAAAAACCCTTAGGTCAGCAGTCTTTGCCTGAAAGAAAATACAGATCATCACTTCACAATTATAGCTATTTTGATCATATACACAAAAATAGTATAATGTATGTAGATAAAAACAAGAGACAGACAGTCAGACTAGGAAATAAATAATATTATGCTAACTGGGTACTAAGGCATTTTCGCTTTATGAATGAGTTATGTAAGAGTTTTGTGCTCCAAGGTGATATAAGAAATATTCCCCGGGAAATATATTCTAGGAGGGTGATATTCGATCAGAACACATTGTAGCCCTATGGGAGTTTTACATTGAAGGATATATTGAGGTATAATAATATAAATGTTTAAATGACACCATCATATAGCAATTATAATGTTACTATTCGAATACTGTGTAATATTTATTTTAATCTGTTGACAAAAACTTTTAACATTTCTTCTCCATCCGACAAACGTTATTTTGAAATTATCACAACTTGTCAATGAATATTTTCATCTTTAAACTGTTTTTTACACATATATTAACTTGTTTACACTTGGTTATGTCTTGGTTGCAACTTCGGTAATGTACTGATGCCATTTCTTACGGTCTTCTGTACCATATATCTGCAATCTCGTACCAACAAAGGGCATCAGTAGTACGAATTATGTAATTAGTGTATATTTTATTGAACAGATCACCTATAACAGTGATTTTACGGGTGATTTGCTATTCAAACCTTTCTGGGTAAGTCGAGGAAGACTTTCAAATATGAATACCAATTCTACACTTGAGTTCACCTTGACCAAGGCGTCCTCAATTCGTCCTTAAGGAAGCCTTTCCCGAGTTTGAGTGGAGGTTGAGTTCGAGTGACGACACTGAATATAGCTATAAGTGTAGAGTAGCGCAATGCAGATGTTAACAAACATGTATGCCACCCTAAACACAGCCAATTTAATATTATAACATTATATTTTTAAATGTGTATAAAAAATGCATAGTAAATTTGTTATGGAATACATGTATATCATTACCATGGGGCAGAACCAATATGACCCATGGGTCCATGAATTGAGTAAACCCTGTAGTTGTCAATGAGACAATGTTACACACAAAATATCTTCTAAAAACAAGCTTTTCATGGTGAGGTCACTGTGACCTTTACCTTTGACCTACTGACCCCAAAATCAATAGGGGTCATCTACTAGTCATGGCCAACCTCCACACAAAATATGAGGACCATTAGCTAAAGCATTGTCTAGTTATTGAGCGGAAATGGCATGGTCTACGGACCGACGGACCGACCGACCGACCGACATGGGCAAAGCAATATACCCCCACTTCTTCGAAGGGGGCATAATAACTTATTTTATTTGACTTTTTTTATCGTTGGTACCGGTTGCCCATATGACCAACGTCCCCTGAAGATTGTTAGTATATTATTTTTCGGGGGGATAGTGCATGATACAGAAGACGCCCCGTTTCAGAGGCGACTCTGGTTCTTTTAAGTGCCCGGTGTAAAGCACCAGTACAATGCACCTCGGTTTAACTTATTTTTTCCCCTTTTAATAGTAAGGGAGATAGACTGTATCCAACAATCAACTTATTTTCAAATACATTTTTTAAACTTTTTTAACAATCTCACAAGCATCCCGCTAGAGTCCCGGTGGTCGGTCGGGTGATCCAGGAACGACCGGGGTACGTCCGTAACTCTGTCGGCAACGTCCGTGATGATCAAGGGCTCTGTCGGGGCTCTACCGGTGATTGTCGGCACTCTATCTGACCGTACCGGGGCTCTGCCGGGATCATCCGGGACTCTGCCGACATCATCCGGGGCTGTGCTAGCATGGATCTCAGCTTTTATGATCTCTTTGGTCGAAGACTTAACAGCGTTTGAATATCGTGTTAGGTCATCCGTCGTCCACTCACTATCTGCATTATCCGTAGTTTCAACTGGACTCTGCATGGATGGCCCGGAGTTCATCCTGGTTGTTATAAGTATGGAAATTGGGTATCGCCGTAGTGCTACCGGGGTTATTGAGGCTGCAACAATATTTTCATCCCGGATCGTCTGGGGTGGTCCTGGGCTTTGCCGGGATGCTGGTGAGAACGCTACTTAAATCGGTACTTTTAATCCCTATGGAAACCTTTATAACTGGCTGATGCATAACTGTTGATCATAGAAATAAATGCAATTAACATATGAAAAGTCGAGACATTTATCGTTGACCGATTTGGACATTTATGAGCACCTAATTTGTTGCGACATTTTTCGTTAATTTTTGGACATTTATCGTTAAAGGAGTTTTGGACATTTATCGGCGATTGAGACATTTATCGTCAATTTTTGGACATTTATCGTCGTTTGGACATTTTTCGACGTTTGGACATATATCGGCGCTACACCATCGCGCCAGCGTACCATCGCCTTTCGTTCAGTAGAATCAGTACACTTACAGAAATATGTCAGATTCTGATACGGCAGATAAAAAAAAACACGTTTAGAATACTTAATAAATAATTTTAGTTATAAATAATAAAAGCTGTTAACTTTGTATTAAACTTTCCATTTATTTCATTATACAGTATATAGATCAAAGACCATTTAATATATGCTTATACATGTATAATATATGTTTATGTATTTTAATATATGTTTGCTTTTTTTTCTTTTGCTGTATTTAAGATAACAACTTGAATTTTCATATGTACGTACAGTGCACAAGGACGACAACTTTTTAAATTTTTGAGCGATTGCCTGTTGCTATTTTTCATGTTTTAAATACTAAGATACCAAAGATACGCAAATAGAAAGGAGGCGGGGATAAATAATGAGGAGGCATACATTGTTGATGAAAATGTACCATTGCGCATGACCACAGGAAGACGATGGCACGATGATAAAATCGCGATAATACGATGGTGAAAACGCGATGGCACGATGGTGAAAACGCGATGGTACGATGGTGAAAACTTGATGGTACGATGATAAAAACGCGATGGTACGATGGTGAAAACGCGATGGTACGATGATGAAAGCGCAATGGCACGATGATGAAAACACGATAGTATGATGGTGAAAACGCGATGGTACGATGATCAAAACACGATGGCGCGATGGTACGATGGTGAAAACGCGATGGCACGATGGTGAAAGCGCGATGATACGATTGTGAAAACGCGATGTCACATCGTGTTTTCACCATCGTGCTATCGTGCCATCGCGATTTCACAATCATGCCATTGCGCTTTTATCATCGTACCATCGTGTTTTCACCATCGTACCATCGTGCCATCGCGATTTCACCATCATACCATCGCGTTTTCATCACGTACCATCATGTTTTAACCATCGTAACATCGTGTTCTCGCGTTTTCACCATCGTACCATCGTGCATCGCGGGTACAGACTAAATAAAAAATGATGATTGTCCAAACGGTACACCGTATATATTAAGTATACTGCTTGGAAAATCTTATTACATTTAGCTTAGGACAAAAGGAAACATATTAAAAAGGCAATGCATAACATTAAAGAAGTTGCATTTGATATTGCACTTCCCGCAGTTTTTTTAATGCTATCCCAAGTAAGTTTTGATGTAATTGGGTTTATCTAAAAATAGATTTTAAATATCTATTTATAGATTGAAAAAGCTCCAGCGGTTATTGCACGCGATATTAGACTTGGACCAGTCTACGATAGCTGAAATAAGAGGATACAGTAGTCCACCTAAAATAGTCCACACAGTGATGATATCAACATTGCTTCTCCTTGGTCACTGGGAGGACGAAACCAAGGTAAAACAATTAAATATATGTTTGCAATTAAATATATATAAACAATGAAATATATGTAAACATTAAAATATGTGTAAGCTATGAAATATGTGTAAGCAATGAAATATGTGTGAACAATGAAACATATATAAACAATAGTGTAATCAATGAAATATATGTAAACAATGAAATATATGTAAACAAAGAAGTGCATGTATATGTAAACAATGAAGTTTATGTAAACAGAAAAAAATATTTAAACATCTATATGTTTTATAGTTATTGCGAATAGGGGCATTATAACAGAGATTCAAGAGAGCCTACGTGTGTTCCCTTAAAATCACGCAAGAACATTGTATAATGTTATGTGCTGAAAGTGCTATAATAAGTGCTTAATAGGTTATTGTTTTTGAAATTTGATAATAGTTAATGTCATTTCGGACATTACATATTCGGATATTATTATTTTAGGAATTAAAATTGCCTATGTTTTACATTGAACATCTGTATGTCATTTAAGGAATGGAAGAATATACAGATAGTGCTCGGGAAAACAGGCAAGGAGTCCCTTAAGAGGCTGATTGTGGAGTTTAAGATAGAGAAGTGCCCACTGGAGGTTGCCATGGGAGCTAAAGACTTTCTCCGTGACTACAGTATCGACCAGGTTCGTCTAGTCAGTGCTGGATGTGCTACCTTCTTTGTATGGGTACGTGATTTGATATTTATGTGTGCAAAAGAGCTTAAAGACTTTTTGCTACAGATAGAAATAGACATATAGGCAGAATGAAAACTGTTTATTAATAAGCTCACCAAAACCGAAGGTTCGGGGAGCGTTATTGGTATCAAAGGGGGATACTCCGGCGTCCGTTGTCCATCGTCATACGTCAACTGTCGTCTTCTTCTCTGAAACTGATGGACAGATTTACCTCAAATTTGGTCTACAGCATCCTTGTGACAGTCAGACTTAAATTTTCTCATGCCATTTCAATTGGCTCTTTTAATGGGTCAACAGAGCTAAAAATAGAAAAACATCTTCTTCTACCAAATTAAATGATAGATCATCACCAAAATTTGTCTGTATCATTCTTGGGTAATTTTGTATCAAATTTGATAACTTTAATTTGATTACCCCCTTTTATGGGTCCCTTAAAATAGGAAAAATCTTAAATATCTTCTTCTACAGAACTTATTGATGGATGATCGCCAAACTTTGTCTGTAGCATTCTTTGGTAGTCTTTTATCAAGTTTGCTCATATTATTTGATTGGCCACTTTGAGGGGCCGCTAAAGCTAAAAATGAAAATACCTTTAAACGTCTGCTTCTACAGAACTAATTGATAGATGATCACCAAATTTTGTTTGTAGCATTCTTAGGTTGTCTTTTATCAAGTTTGCTCCTATAAATTTGATTGGCCCCTTTTAGGGGCAGCTGAAGCAAAGATAGAAATACCTTTGAACATCATCTCCTACTTAAATAATTGATGGAAGATCACCACCAAATTTTGTCTGTAGCATTTTAGGTAGTCTTTTATCAAGTTTGCACATATTAATTTGTTTGGCCCCTTTTAGGGGCCGCTAAAGCTGAAAATAGAAATACCTTTAAACTTCTCTTTCTACAGGAATAATTGATGAATGATCACCAATTTTTGTCAGTAGCATTCTTAGGTAGCGTTTTATTAAGTTTGCTCATATTAATTTGATTGGACCCTTTTAAGGGCAGCTTAAGCAAAAAATAGTTAAACCTTTGAACACCATCTCCTACTAAAATAATTGATGGATAATCACCAAATTTTGTCTATAGCACTCTTAGGTAGTCTTTATCAAGTTTGCTGATACATGTATTAATTTGGTTGGCCCCTTTTAGGGGCTTAAAATTTAAAGTCAGAAAATATTTGAACATTATCTCCTATTGATATAATTGATGGATGATCACCAAATTTTGTCTATAGCATTCTTAAGTAGTGTTTTATTAAGTTTGCTCATATCAATTTGATTGACTCCTTTTATGAGCCGCTAAAGCTAAAAAAGAAAAATATTTGAACATCATCTTCTACTGAAATAATTGATGGATGATCACCAAACTTTGTCTGTAGCATTCTTAGATAGTCTTTTATCAAATTTGCTGATATTAATGTGATTGGTCCCTTTTAAAGGCCGCTAGAGCTACAAATAGAAATACATGTAAACGTCTGCTTCTACAGAACTAATTGATGGATGATCACCAAATTTTGACTGTAGCATTCTAAGGTAGTCTTTTTATCTTTTACTGAAAAGCAGTTGTTTTAGTGAGCGACTCAGGGCCATCATGGCCCTCTTATATTGAACTACTTTTATTAAACTTACAATCTGAAAACAGAAACATTGTAAGTAAAAATAATTAATGTCGATGATTTTTTTATGAATCCCACATCCCCTGAATTTGAGTTTTAGCCTACGTTATGTCCTGTCATGGGCTATACATTTATTTATACATTGTAAGTCTTTTTACTTTATATTTTTACATTTGGTTTGTTCGTAATACACATAAAACATGTAAAGTCTTTCTGATTGTATATTCTTTGAAAATAGACCGTTTTATAAGAAACTTCACATCCAAATATTCTGTTGTTACTTTTGCAGGTGAAAGGTGTTGTTGAAGAACTAGAGAAGAGGGCTGGTGATGAAATAAACAATATACGACCTTTGACCTCGAGATCACGTCCAAATCGCAGAAACAAAAGAGAAATGACTTTCTTAGGAGATCTGGATATAAATTCTGCACGATAGCTTTTTATGTGAACTTGTTTGTTTATGGAAACATTATAATAATGAACTATGAAAAGGGTATAGTTGATTATATGTATGCATAGTTGATAACAATGTATTCATGTATGCAGTAATTTATTGCAATGTTTGTGCAATTAAGTTTATACGAGACTGTGTCAGAATGCGTTACTATTTTCTTCAAAAAGATATTGTTTAGGATTTTGTAATATATATATATATATATATATAAAAAAAAGAAGTTCGATTCCTTGTGTGGATCTCATGTATAAAAAAAGTATGTTTTGGGAAATGCACAGTACAAAGTTCTTTAATTTTTTATACGTTTATTTCTGTTAGCGCTTTCAAATGTTTCTACATATCTTCAGACAGTAACGTATAATATAAACAAATATATATTTGTTATGTTTATATTATACGTTACTGTCTGAAGATATGTAGAAACATTTGAAAGCGCTAACAGAAATAAACGTATAAAAAATTAAAGAACTTTGTATATATAAAGATATTCCGTCCTTTAGTACCATGTGTAGTTGTAACGTCGTCACTCACGTGTTGATTGATCACAGGCTTCTTATCACATTTACGCTTAATTGATAATGATGGGACATGGAAATGAAACAAAAATATTGTCGAATATTTACGATCATTGACTTTTTTTCCATACCATTGTATGTAAATATTTGTTGAGTTGGTATATGTTGCCTGTCGATCAGATATAATAAAATTACATTAATAGGCTTTTAAATGAGTTCATGATTCATCTGTGCCAAAACTATGATAATATAATGTAAAACGATCTTTGGTTAAGTTCAGTTGCGGCAACTTCCGTTCATTTCCGTGTTTGCGTGATATTACTCGACATTCCTCGTTTTTAATAGTACAAGACGAACAAACACATTCTTAAAATTTATGTTTTTACTTAGTATTACATATCAACGATATTGCATAACACAAACCATGTGAAATAATGAGCATTTAGGCTTCCCGATTGACAAGGGTTTTGCCCATTGTTTTATCCCTCTTGTCGCTTTGGCCTTCGAGTGAAATTTTAATAAATATATTAATACAAACTATTTACGTACACTGGTGCATATTTTAAATCACTGTTTTTCTTGTGTCCATATTTTTAAAGAGCATTATTTATATACTTTGACAACGAATTATTGTATTATTTTTTATGAAAATGGTTCAATGTTTCAGAATTGAAGAATACAACAAAAGGCATAGTTTTAAACGTGCGAAAATATTTGGAGCGGACTTCGATTGCAATAAAATCCCTTTATTATGACAATGTTGAATGTTTTAAATGTACATGAAATATTGAAGTTGGCACGTGTTAGTTATTTCGACACATTAAATCAATGATATTCTTCTACATACTTTAGCGTTTGCTTGATTGTTTAAATAATTTTATATTATATTTGAGCCGTGTCATGACAAAACCAACATAATGGGTTTGCGACCAGCAAGAATCCAGACCAGCCTGCGCATCCGCGCAGTCTGATCAGGATCCATGCTGTTCGCTATCAGTTTCTCTACTTGTAAAAGGGTTTGTAAGCGAACAGCATGGATCCTGATCAGACTGCGCGGATGCGCAGGCTGGTCTGGATCCATGCTGGTCGCAAACCCATTATGTTGCTTTTGTCGTGACACGGCTCATTTATATATGTAATTGATTTGTTATTACAATATGTTATACTTCACTATTGAATTTCAATAAAAGTGCAACTATGTGTACAGAAGTTTTCAGTCATTTTTCCATATTTCGTCAAATTTCGAATAGCAACATAGGTATTGGTCCCGATGGGTTTATTTCTTAATAGAATTATGAGAATGGAAAAAAAGTGAACTAATTTAATATTAAAATTATGTAATGGAACAATGGAAAGGAAATAAGAGTTTCTTGCGTTGAATAACAACAGTTTATAACTATGGAGCTTATATATTGTAAATCTCATTTTGAAGTTATGATTTATTTGTTATCTGTTCAAAATGATATAAAAGTATACTAAGCGTTTTATTTATAGGCCTGTTTTTTTTTTCAGTTTAGATACTTTGCTGTATGGCCAGCTAAGATAAATTAGATTCTGTGTCATTTTTTATATATAGCCAATGTGGTCTTTTTGCTCAACACTGAGAATTGTGCTGATATATTGAGCTAATGACCAAGCCTTATCTTTTATTTATTGTTTTATTTGTATTATACCTTTTGAAACGTTCGTGTTATGCAAAAATTTAATAATTTTGCTATATACATAGAATGAAGAGTAGAAAAAACGTCAAACTAAAAAAAATATAACTGATCTTTTCAAAATTTTATTGCGGACTTAAAATGAAGTAAAGTCGACGTCATATCCCGATTGGTTTGCATTACTGGTGTTGTATATAAACCAATTCTAAACATGACCATGAAAGTTACATTCCTTATCAATATGGAAACGCTATATTTTTATCGTCTGCCCTTAATTTAACAAAAGGGTGGACACTTTGTCCCTTTCTTGTATGAGAAGGGGATTCCCGTGATGCGTGTATGTGGTCGCACGGTCACTTTCCTTACCACATATCCTCGATGCATGTATGTGATTGCATGGTCGAAAATCTTTATTTAAATGACAACATTTTTCAAAATTGATTAGGGTGCCTAATCTTAATGTTCTTAAAAAACTGTTTAACTCCTAAGTTTTAAAAGCCTAGTTAGGTCTTTTCACTTTTAATTAAGAGCTATAAAAACCAAATTAGGACTTTGATTTTCCTAAAAAGGAGAGATTAAAAAATACTTATGATAACTTGTTGCTACCAGTTACAATTAAATATTCATTTTACTCGTAATTAGGAGAAATAAACATAATAACAACTTGTTAACTCTTGATTATATTTTTTTAAAAGGAGAAATAAGAATATTATTAGGAGTTGAGAAATAAAAGCTTAAGTAGGAGGAGTTTTATAAGACTAAAAATGAAATAAAAACCTAGTTTGAACTTTGTACCTTACATAAAGAACAAATAAAACATTTATTTCTCCTTATGAGTTTTATAACTTCTAATTAGGACATGTAACGTACTAATTAGTATTCAGATATTAAAAACGTCATAAAAACACAGTAAAGTCAAACAACACTATAGAGATTTTTCATGTTTTGAGCAGAACCACCGACGTCTCGCAAGCTACCTTGATAGCTTCTTCACATAAAATAATCCCAAGTCCCTGGCCGGATTTTAACCCTCATCGGAGAGGGGCAAGTAGATAAAGCAATATTGCGACATTTATTGGCAGAATATTTTGCGATGTTTAGTGGCGGTTGCGATATTTAGGGGCAATATGGTGCGGCATTTAGTGATAGGCGTTGTGATATACGAGGTATGATCAAAAAGTTCTCAGCCCGATATACTTCTAGCCACAACACTGACATTTACACAAATCAGAAATCAGAGTCGTCATTAAGTACCTCTGTAAGAAAGGGATGTCCCCAAAAGAAATCCATGAAGACTTCATGGATACACTTGGAAAGGAGACCCTTCCTATAGCACTGTGAAAAATGGGCTGCTGAATTTAAGAGGGACAGGGAGTGCATTGGAGATGATGAGCTGCCTGGGCAGCCAAAAGAGGCCATCAACGATGAAACTGCCTAAGCTGTGCACGATCGTATCTTGTGCGACAGAAGGCGAGACCTGCGAAGCATTGCTAGAGAAGTGGGTATAAGCTTTGGTTCAGTTCAGGCTTGACATTTCAAGATATATTTTTTATCGCTACGAGGATCAGACTGGATCATAACTCAGGATGAAACATGGGTCCATACCTTCGATCCAGAATCCAAAAAACAGAGCATGCAGTGGAAGCACCCTGGTTCACCCCCTCCGAAGAAATTCATGATGGTGCCATCAGCAGGGAAGTTGGTGGCTTCAATTTTTTGGGATGGTCAGGCACTAATCATGATTGACTGTCCTGAGCAAGGTCGTACCATACACGATACGTACTATGCAGACAAACTTAGACGTCTGCGTCAAGAAATCGTGCGTAAAAGGAGGGGTAAACTGACTCAAGGCGTTCTGCTCCTGCATGACATAGCGCCAGCTCACACATCCCAAGTTGCAATTGCTGCTGCAAGTGCCTGCGGCTTTGAAATTCTTACCAATCCCCCATATCCTCCAGACTTGGCCCCCTCTGACTTCTACCTGTTTCCGAAACTGAAAATCAAGCTTCGTGGTAGACGTTTTGGAAGCAATGAAGGTGTCATGGAGGCGGTCAATAAGTTTTTTGGGGACCAAAATAGAGAGTTCTAATTGAAGGGTAAAACAAGTTAGAGCACAGGTGGGTGGGCAAAGTACATTGATGTAGAGGGCGATTATATTGAAAAGTAAGACCATTAGTTGGATACTCAGACTACCGGAAGTACATTGCGCCAAGAACTTTTTGATCAATCCTCGTATAACGCTGCCACAAGGAGCAATGCAGATCTATTGAATATAATGGTAAGACATTTGTTTTACTATAGCTTCTTATTTTATTGACAAAACAAAATGTGTTTGAACATCGATGTTTTGCTATATAACATAGAGCTAATAGTCCGAACTTAAACCGAACGTTTTCTATATCCAGTATACTTGTAAGTTCTATTTCTTATTGGGCAAACACCTCTATATTTACACAAAAACAGCGTCATGCATAAAAACAACGCTAATGACGTCATCACGACAAGGAGCATGCGCGTGTCCCGAAACAGGTACCATACAATAATGCCGTCCCAACTGTGCCATGATGAATTGTGCATTAAAACGAGGTAGTTGCTGTAGGACGAGTTATTAATGATGTAGAATTGATTCTGGTCCCGATAGTTGAGGTACCGTCCCCATAGGAACGTTGGTCCTGAAAATAAAGATCATTAGAATGTTGATAAAAGCCTTCGTGTACTTACTAAATGATATCTGCTTTTTATATCTTATATATTCACACCATTTGTGTCAGAAAACAGATGGTAGTTGACAATTTTCAAGTTCGTGAAAGTACGGTGTATTCTGTCAGTTTCGATATCGATAAAGGAGCCCCACTGAGACTAATAGCCTAAAAACACAAAATGTAACCGAAAGGACCCTCGAAACAGAAAATGAGCAAAAGGTGATAAAGAAATACATGTATTTTGGAGGGATTATTTTGAAAAAAAAATTTATGAATGAAAAAAGGACACTTCTACAAGAGAACATGTCACCACAGTTTTCATTTCATAATCTTGATTTCGAGAATTCTAAAATTCCAATTTCAATTTCTAACATTCATTAAACACAAACCGCAGGACTATAGTTAGTTT